GTGACAGAGTAAGACTGAAAAAAAAAGGGGGGGGAAATGTAAGAGAAGCTTAATGTAAGTACTGAAAATGAAGTATAAGAAAGTACTAAAGGAATTTTAAATGGAAGTAATTCAATCTGATTCCTATATTAGCTAATATGTAACATTTACAACGTACTAGGCATAGTACTAAGTGTTTTACATATTAATGCACTGAATGTACCAATAGTCCCATAAAGTACAATTATTGCCACTCTACAGTTGAGGCAACCAAAGTATAGGAAAGTTGATTATCTGGCCACAGGTTATCTACTTAGATCGTTATAGCCAGATTACAAACTCAGGCAGGGTGACTCCATCATAGAAGGCTTAACGAAGGTAGCAGAACTAATCCTTAGAAGGAGAGTATAAAATCAACAATCAAGGAGAGTGGGAAGAAGGAAGACGTAAAGATAGTAAACAGATAATGTACACAGCTATGATTTAATAATAAAAACAGAGGATGGTATGTAAGATGTGGGGGGGGAGAAATAAGTGTGAGTAGAGGGTGGCAAACTGACTAGACCAAAAGCATGTTAGGAGTCCATCATGAGGATTAACATAGGCTTTGTTAGTAAAGAAAATAATTCTTATAATAGGCATCAAAAACTTGATGTAATTCGATGGATTCAGTACACAGAGTCAGTCTCTGAGACACATATAAACCAGTACCAATGAAATCTCATTACAATACAATTTCTGCTAAAAGAGAGTATAGGAACACAAATCTTGAGAACATTTTCATAGTGACCCTCCACACCTCTATACAGTAATCTCATTTCATAAAGATCCCATTATCATGCAATGTTTGAAATTGCCAGCACTGAAAACAGCAGATCTCAAACTGCCACAGTTGTGCCTTAGTTAAGTCCTTTAGGAAGCAGTGAATGAAATGTGAATAAATCATGTAGTCCTGCAGTTAGAGCTGCTCCTCTGTCACAATGTTCATGAAAGAAAACAAGGTGATCCAATTACATCCCTGATGTAATGAGTAATATAAAGCATGAACTCTGTTAGATAGGAACTTTAACCAAGAAAATGAGCAGATATGTATTTTTAATGTGAGATCTCCTTGATTAGTAGTTGATATAATTAATACTCATATTAGTAAGTTGCATTTGGAAAACTCTGCTTTGCTTTCATTTCCTGATAAATAGAAATATTAGTGATTGTTTATCTAGCAAACTGTAAGTTTAGCCTGTCCAAATCAATAATATGACTAAAGTGTACACAACCCAAATCCAACTGTAAGCACCATAAAGTAAACATTTAATTTGTTCAAACTGTTAGAAAATATGTAAAATTAAAACACTAATAAATTCCTTACTGATTGCTTTGGCATACAATTAATAAGGGACAGGAAAATCAATTTTATTATCATAAAATATCTTTGAGGAAGAGATCTTAATTCTGCAACATAATCTGCCATTCTGGGAGAATTCTAAATTATTTCCTTGACTGATAGAATAGAATTGATCCATGAGACACAGGCAGTATCACACAGCATAACAGAAAATGAAAAGGCAAGGCAAACTTTTTGAAAGAGGATTTGAAAATCAAAAGTTACATTTGGCTAAATATAAAACTAAAGAATAGGTGAATAGTTGAAGAAATAAAACATGAACTATTCTAAAAAAATTCTCTACTCCAAAACACCCCAAAATGGTGTTTGAAATTCAACAAGCATCCTTTACATGAAAATAAGAAAAATCCATAGGGCCTCTAAAATGTGGAGGAGTAAAAAACACAGTGTGGATGTGGGGGGGTAGCTGAAAATTGGTGTAATAATCTCGAACTGACACCATGGCTGCCCTAAAGATATTTGCTAATAATAGATACCTAGACTTTAACAGTAGGACAAAGAAGAAAGACTAGTTCTTGATCCCTAGCATGGGGGAAAGTTAGAACCAATTTTTACTACATCAAAGTAGAAACTTTGAAAAGCTATATTACCTCTGAAAAGATGCATTAAGAAGTCTAGCCCAACAACAAAGGAAAATGATAAAAGTTAACTTATCTATATAAATCTCAGTTTCAGATAGAAAAGAAAATGAGCTTAGGATACCAGCAAGATACCCCTAGAAGCCCCTAGCACCCATCATCCCCAAAACAACAGCACTAACAATGAATAAACAACTATATATTAATGAAAATAACTAAAGGAGAGCACTGGAGTACTTCAAAGGAGTATGAGAAAGCCCAGTGAACAAAGAAACTCAGGATAGCCACCTAGGGAACAGATAGAAACACCTCCCCTCCTCCACCCCTTCCCCCACCAGGGATCAGCTGGGAACCAGGAGAAACGTCTCCCTGTGGGAGAAAGTACAGTCTCTTTGTTAGAGAGGTGCCAGGAAATGAGATATCCATATACAGAAGAATAAAATTAGACCCCTATAGCTCACCATATATAAAAAAAATTAAATCAAAATGAATTAAAGATTAAACGCAAAATCCAAAACTATAAAACTACTAGAATGAAACATAAGGGAAATGCTTCTGGACATTTCATGGATTTTATGAATAAGACCTCAGAAGCACAGGTAAAAGCAAAAATGCCCAAACAAGATTATATCTAAGCAAAAATCTATACAGCAAAAGAAACAATCAACAAGGTGTAGAAATAATTGGCAAAAAGGGAAAAAATATTTGCACACTATTCATCTGACAGGAGTTAATATCCAGAGTACAAATAATTTAAACAACTCAATCACAAATAAATAAACCCGTTAAGAATGGGCACACAATTAAATGGCTAACAGTATATGAAAAACTGCCAACATCACTAATCATCAGAGAAATGCAAATCAAACCCACAATAAGATGCCATCTCATCCCGTAACAGTCTTAGGAAGACTATTATCAAAAAGACAAAATAGTAAGTGCTGGCAAGGAAATACAGAATGGGAAATTCTTATACACTGTTGGTTAGAAGGTAAATTAGTATAGCTATTATGGAACACAGTATGGAGTTTCCTCAAAAAACTGAAAATAGAATTACTGTATGATCCAGCAATCCCATTGCTGGGTATATATCCAAAAGAAAGAAAATCAATATATCAAAGAAATATCTGCATTCCCATATTCACTGCAATGCTCTTCACAGTGGCCAAATTGTTCATCAACAGAAGACTAGATAAAGAAAATGTAGCACATACATGCAATGGAATACTATTTGGTCATCAAAAAGAACAACATCCTGGCATTCATGCCAACATAGAGGAGTTTGGAGGACATCACATAGTAAACTCCCTGTTATCTGGAACTCAAGCAACTGGTGGCCCACGACTATAAAAAAAGAAAAAAAGTCAAAAGAGTTTAGTTTATAGTGCGCCCTACAGTCAGTAAGCCAGTGCTTTCGATGCTTCATGCATCTCTCCCATGGCTCTGGTGTGTTCCATGTAACATTTCTAAGTGTGTTACTTGAAGTTAAAAAAAATACAACAGTAAAGTTGAAAAACATATCAACTGCCATTTAACTAAAATTGCACACCTTATTTACAAAGCTGTTTTATAATACAGTAAAATTGGGTTATAATAAGTGAAATTGTTTTTATTTGTCTTAATTTACTTTTAATTAATGTATTTCAATAATAGTATCAAGTCAATATAGTGTTTATGTATGGTACAATATGGGGCATAGAATTAGTTAGACGTATTTTTAATAGTAACTCTCAAGCAACTGGAAACTACATTTGTCTGGAATCTACCAACCCCCACAGGTGTTACAAAATTGGGAGATTATTATATTAAGTAAAAGAAGATAGGCATAGAAAGACACTATTTGGAAGGTAAAAAAGTTGATTTCATAGAATTAGAAAGTAGAATAGTGGTGAGTAGAGCCTAGGGGCGGGGGTGGGTATAGCCAGAGGGATATAGCCAGAGGTTGGTTAGTGGATACAAAATTACAGCCAGGTAGGAAGAATAACTATAGCTCTACAGCACTACAAGGTGACAATAATTAATAACAATTTATTGTATATTTTCAAATAGCTAGAAGAAGAGATTTTAAACGATAAATGTTCCAGGCAATGGATAAGCTAATTACCCTGATTTATCATTATATGTCGCATACATGTATCAAAATATCACACTGTACTCCACATATATAATGACTATGTGTTAATCAAAAAACAATAAAAATAAGAAATTTTAAAAAGAATCTGAATCTGAAAGTGGATACCGAGTGATCTTCAAGTTCTAGTTTCCTGAGATGTCTCACATAAACAAATAGAATCCCTTTCTGTGGGAATTTACTTTCATTCCAAACCCCACAAGATTCCCGCATATTGAGCAACCCCAAAATGAATTCACAATATAAAATTACAAAATTCACAGAGAAATAAAACATCAGAAGCAGAAGTGAAGTCAACAGAATAAAGAACAGAATAAGACTTCTATGAACATCAGCTATTAGAAATAACAAACACAGAATATAAAATAATTATGTTTAAAAAATAAAAAAGAGGAAACCAAAACAAGCAAGGAAAAGGTTACTATCAAAAATGAACAAACGAAATATAATTTCTAGCAATGAAAAATATCACGTAACTACAAATTTAACAATATAAAGATATTTTTTAAACATCATTTTAAACAATTGAGGGAAATATATAGTACTGGGCATTAGATGGTGCAGGATATTTGTTAATTTTTACTAGGAATGATAATGGCATTGTGAGTATCTAAGACGTCAATATTTTTTACAGGTGTGTATAAAGTTGACTGGGATTTCTTTCAAAATACATCAGCAAAGAACAAAAAAGGAATAGATGAAACAAACGTAGAAAAGTAAAATATGAGAAATATTAAATCTGACTGATGTGTATCAATAAAATTATTTGTATAAAAAGAAAATGAAAACTCAATGGATAATATAATCAGAATGTTGGATAAAGCCCAAAAGAGTTCTAGAGAACAGGAAGAAAGATCTGAAGAGAGTATCCAGATTATAAGTAAAACTTAAAGAAAAAAAAAAATCTCACCTTCCTTTGGGCTCACTGCTGCAGGGAGACCATTCCAATCAAGGGTCCAAGTAGGACAAGGGTGGGGAGAAAACATCACTTCAATGCCTTTTTCCTAGAAAAGGAAATATCCTTTTTCCAATTAATGAATTAATAAACTCTTATTATGTTCTTGAAGTCCAAATTTCTATTTTGTATATTGATGAAGAGGAGCATAAGTAGTAATAATCACTGGAGATTCCCCCAAATACTTACTTATTACATAAAAAATATATGCTAGGTTATTTGGCAGGGCAGTTATTTGCCTATTATTTTTTGAGATAATAAAAAGTAATGCTATTTTAAAATTATTACTAAAAATACATAGAATAAGCTATCTAGAAATATACCGGATATCAAAGAGAAAAGTCACCTGAAGATAAAAATTTTATCAAAAATAGTCCACATAGAGATAATAAAAAAGTGATGCTGCATATGTCCATCAATGTCTGTCTTTACATATTTGAAAACTGCTAAAACTTAAAACTATACTTACAATACTAAAAAGCTGCTACTTCAACACATATCCCCAAAACGTCACTCATACCAGTCTTTCACAAGTGCCTTTAACATCTCTAGAAAAGGATTTCTCTGGTTTAACCAAATGGTTCCCAACTTTTTCAACAATGAGACCACTTTTCAACATATTAAAAATTTCTTATCCTTCTTCCCCAAGTTAGAAGTTATGCGTTTATTTGATCTATAGACAGTACATGGCATACACACAGGTTCACAGACTGCTTCCAATTACATTCTAAGTCCACATCCCATAGTGTACATATATATCCACTGTCAGGTAATTTTATCTTTAGGAATAACCAAGTCAAAAGAAAAATTGCTGAGAATCTAGCGTTAAACCCTTTTGTTATCAGTTAGTTTGAGATACCTTCCATTATAAAAACTAGCTTAATTTGAGTCCCAAAGGAAATAGCACCCCCTTTTCCTAGGGCTAGAGATACAGTTTTTGGCCAGGAAGTCTAGAGCACTGAGGTTGCCTTCAGAAAGATCAACATCTCTCTGTGACGTCAGCTATCTCTCTTCTATCTTCTCTAGTCTTGCCACACTGACCTTATTGCTCTTCCACTTTCAATAAACTCATTCCTACCTTAGGGTCTTTGAAAAATACAGCTCTATCAAGATATAATTTATAGACCATAAAATTTACCCTTTAAACCATACAATTCAGTGTTTTTTAAGAATATTCACAGTTGTTCAACTCTCACCACTGATTTTTAGAATATTTTCATCAAATAATGACACTTATATGTACTCAACAGGTAGACCAGAATTCCCTCAACAGTGAAACTACCTAATTAATACATCAAAATCTGTACCTGCCTTGATAACTTCCAAAATCAACTGTTCCATTATTTTATCAAGAGGCCACGGATTTTAGCTGAAGAGTTAAGGCATCAATATCCTTATCAAAGTTTTCTTTCACATTTCTAAATAATTAATTTTCTATTAACCACAAAACTCAAACACTTCCTAATCCACATAGGGAAATATAATGAACATTTTTCCAATGCAACTGAGAAGGATAACTTAATGTATTTCATGAATTCTCCTCTGTTCAAATAAATCTTCAAATCATCTATTGAAAGCAAAACATTTTTGCAGATTATTTCAAATGGTAGGAAAAAGAAAGCCTTTATAATTAGTACTATTAGAAACAAATTATGAAGCTGAGAGCAGAGGCTCATGCCTGTAACCCCACCTTTTGAGAGGCTGAGGTAAGGAGATTGCTTGAGACCAGTCCAGGAGTTCAAGAACAGCCCAAGCAACATAGCAAGATCTGTTTCAACAAAAAATAAAAAAATCAGCTGGGCGTGGTGGTGTATGCCTATAGTCTTAGCAAAGGATAAGGCTGAACCACTTGAGACCAGAAGTTTGAGATTTCAGAGCTCTATGACTGTGCCTAATGTATTCTAGCCCAGGTGACAGAGGGAGAACTTGTCTCAAAAGAAACAAAGTATCCCCAAAGAGAAAAAATTAAATCATATGCATTCTTATTATATAACAATCACGTTGAAATCAAAGATTAAAGTAAAAATAAAATTCAAATAATCCAGAATTGTAAATTTAGTTAAAATCTTGGAAAATAAATCGAGATACTCATTCTTTAAATTTCTTTAACTTCAAATCATCATCACAAACTAAAAAAGGCTGAGACTAAAACATTGCAACAAATAGGAAAATAAGTTAAAATAATACACTTAAGCAGGTGTGGTCACTTGGTAATGTCCTGAATTTAAGAAAAGTTTTAAGAAAAATTCTTTTTAAAAGTATACATGGTGACTTTCTTGGCTCCAAACATACATCTTAAAAATCTTTAGTTTATTATACATTGCTTAAATGCAAAAGACAGGTAAAAATATTAATTGGTAAAGAGTGATGTAAGATAGCCATGAGTAAAATTCATAACAAAAACAATGTCAACAAATAATTACAGATTGGGACAGAATGCTCAGCAACATTATTCACATGGAATTTTTCAAAGAAAATGTTAATGAAATAATTCAAATACCATTAGCTTGGTCATAGTAGGTCTTGGTCCTCCTACAAATAAAGGATCATTTTGCTCTTCTATGTCTGGGACTTCACTTAAGTTTGGGTGCTGTTCATTTGAGGAGGTCAACAACTCTGGTAAATGAAGAAATTGGATCCCACACTTAGAAGCTGCTGTTTTTATTCCTGGCACTTCCTGAATCCGCTGGTACCAAGCGGTTAGCAGTGGAAATTCTAGTAGCTTCTCAGAAAATTTCTGGCAGATAATTACCTAGGCAGAAAAAGGATAAAATACATTATTATGTATTTTTGTTTATTTATAACAGCTGTAATGAGGTAACTTTACACACTACAAAAATCACACTATGTAAGTGCCCAGTTCTAATGCAGAATGTGCACCTATCACCACAATCCAGTTCCAGAAGACAATGTCACCTCAAAAAACTCTCTGTGACCCCCCCCCCCCATAGTCAGCTGTAGGCAACCACTGATATCTTCATTGGTTAGAACTGCTTCCTTGGTTTATAATTCTGCCTTTTCTAGAATTTCCATATAAATAGGATCATCAAGTGTTTTTATGATAGTATTATGTTTTTGAGATATATCCATAGTTACATTTATCAAGTTTCTTTTCTTGTGAATAGTTCATTGTGCAGATACAATTTACCTACTCATTTCCTACTTGATGGACATTTTTGTGTTTCTACTTTTTTAGCTATTATAAATACTATTCTACATATGCTCATGTACCAGTGTGTGTGTGAAAATGTTTTTCATTTCTTAGGAGTAGACACTAAGAGTCAAGTCGCTAGCTTGTATGGTACCTGTATATTTAGCTTTTCAAGACACTGCCAAATTGTTCTCCATGGTGGTCAGACTATTTTACAGTTTCCACTAGCAATCCATGGAGGTTCCAGGCTCTGCAATTTGTCAACACTGAGTATTGCCAGTTTTTTTGATTTTAGTCATTCTTGCGGGTGTGTAGTAGTATCTCACTGTGATTTTCACTTGCGTTTCCTTATCATTAATGATGTTGAGCATCTTTTCATGACCTTATTTACCATTTGTGTATGTTCCTTGGTGACGTGTCTTACATTAAGTCTTATCCTTCGTTTCATAATATAAAAATTAGAGCAACTCAGCAAGAAGAAAATGAACCCAATTAAAAAATGGGCAAAAGATATAAGCAGACATCTTATGATTATGAAAAAATGCTCACATCATATTTCATTAGAGATTTAAAACAAGGAGATACAACTACATACCTATTATAATGACGAGAATCCAGAACACCAACAACATCAATGATGGTGACGAAGTGGGGTAACAGGAACTCTCATCGCTAATGGGAAGGCAAAATAGTACAGCCACTTTGAAATTTAGTTTGGCAGTTTCTTACAAAAGTAAACGTCATCTTACTATACGACCATGCAAATCACTCCTTAGATGAGTTAAAAACTTATGTCCACATAAAAATCTGAACACAGTTGCCTACAGCAGCTTTACTCACATTTGCCAAAAGGTGGAACTGAGTAGGTGAATGAATAAAATGGTGGCACATTCATACGATGGTAAGCAACACTCAACAGAAAAAGAAAGAACAAGACCAAGCAGAATCAAGGTAAGTAACAATGACAAGGTTTGTAAATGTTTACAAATGACTGAGAATCATTTTTGAAAATTTTATATCTTGCATTCATATGCTTTATCATCTTTCATTAGTAGCTTATTTTTAACCCTCTCCAGGAACCCTTCCAAAATCAACTTCCTTCGAATCTGGAAACCCACTCATCTGTAATTCACGGCAAATCACATATCCTACCATCCCTGACCCTCAATACCTTTGATAAGTTCCTAACACACTGAGTGTGGAGAGCTGAATAGATGATGTTATCAAAAATCTAAAATGCTTAATATGTTACTTATTTATGAAAATTAGCTTAAGTAGTTAGTAGAGAAAAAAATACGCTGAAGTCCTGACTTCTTCAAAGCAAACTATGTAACATTTTAAAATTATCACAATTTAATGTCTATAGAGAGTCTATAATCATGGCTGTATCTGGAGGCAGCCTAATGGGAATTTTCTTGCTCAGTGGAGAAATGTGGAAGAAAAGTTTGATTTTAATAGTGACTTAAAGTTCCATTTTTTGTATATGTGAGACCATCTTCTCTGAATGTACAAACTGTTATGTAAAGTTTAGACAATATTAGTAGAGTAAAAAGCATACTTCAGAACCATATTTTAAAAAAAAACTAACAGGCCAGGAGAACATTTCACATAAACATTTCAAGTAAAATAGTAAGAAGATAAAATGATAAATATCTGGAATTGAAAAAGATTGCTTGTATGATTAGGAGGATATCTTTTTATAGATTAGCATTTTAGTTATTGAAATTAGAAAAATATAAAACAATTACTGCTGATAAAAATTCACATCTTTTTGTTTTCTCTCGGTCAGATGCTTTCTCCCTGGTACTACCAACAAACTTCACTTCCTTTACAAATTGGAGAACTCTTATTTCTTTGGGAGGCTCTAAATATGTTCATAGAAACCACTATAATATCACAAATAGATTAGGACTTAAGATTATGAACAGATAGATAAGTAAAAAGGCCAAATCTTTACAAATATATCTAGCAATCAGTATCAAAGCATGAGCTTGAAGGATAATTAATGAAAAATTCATACCATTTATCTCTTACTATATTTTAACTGGACTTTAAATAGGCACAAATAGTTGACTATAAGAGCACAGGTTATGTCTAACCCTCTTTGAATATACAAGCACTTAAAACACTGCCTTGCAAATCATACTGTTGAGTGAATGAACCAAATGATCAAGAATCTATTACCTTCAGACAATAATATCCTAAATTAGTATTTTTCCACACTGTTATTTATGACCCATTAGGAAGTTATTAAATCAACATAATCTTTAAAAGTCTGAAATAGGAAATAATCAAAATACATATCATGTAGTTATTTTGTAAGCATTCATAAACGTGTGTGTACATATATATATATATATATAAATACCAAGATGTACATTTATGAGTATACTTATTCACCTTGTAAAATGTATTAGAGTCACACCCTTAGTATCCATGGGGGGGGATTGGTTCTAACATCCTCCAAGGATACCAAAATCTGCAGATACTCAAGTACTTTATATAAAATTGCATAGTATTTGCATATATAACCCAGGTAACATCCTCCTATATATTTAAAATCATCTCCTGGTTACGTAATACCCAATACAATATAAATGCTATATAAATAGTTGCAATTCTATATCATTCAAAGAATAATAATAAGAAAAGTCTGGCACAGATATAATTTTATATATATATATATATATATATATATTTTTTTTTTTTTTTAATCTGCAGTTGGTTGAATATATGGAGGGCTGACATCTACATGGTGCTTTGGAAGCCAAAAAGTTTATAATTCTCTCCTGAATTCTTAATTGCTTGGAAACAGATTAGGTGCTAAGGTAATTGAGCTTAAGACATGATAAATTAATCAAAGAAGAAATGTTCTATTTTCCTCCACTTTACTCTCTGTTAGTGATTTATTCTTGTTAGATGAATATGGCAATTTTCCTTCTTTTCAAAAATAAGTTTTGATTAAATAATAATAACTCTTGTAGAATGAAATTGAAAATTTTTATGCTGCAGGACAAGTCACCCATTTAACCAATATGCCAGGCCATTCTACTAACATACAGAGAGTTTAGGAGGTATGGAACCATATTCATTATAGTTAAGAAGATATATTTAAGGAAGTGGGTGATGCAAACTATGAAATGAAAATTAAATTTGTTCCTAAAAAATGAATAAAAAAATAACTTGTGTCATAAGAGCAAAACCATGGAATTCTTAAGGACAAGAAAATAGGGACAATTGATTCTTAAAATGAAGGGGCTAGGTGCAGCGGCTCACTCTTAAAATCACATTTTGGGAAATGAAGGCAGTAGGACTGCTTAAGGACTGCTTGAGGACTGTGAGATGTTAGGGACCAGCCTATCAAACATAACAATACACCACCACCACTCTGCAAAAATAAAAAAAAAAATTAGCAGGTGCAGTGGTGTACAGGCCTGTAGTCCTTGCAACTCAGAAGGCTGAGATAGGAGGATTACTTTAATAAGCCCAGGAGTTTGAGTTATGATTGTGCCACTGTACTCCAGCATGAGCAAGAGACTGAGATCTTGGGTCTCAATAAAAATAAATCAAAAAGCTTTTTGAAATGATAAAAAATTCTTGCTACAAAGAATACAAAATGAATTGTGACTCTGCAGGTAATTGTACTAAGGGTAAATTGAATAAAAAGAGAAGATGTTACATCTATGCAAAATATCTCCTCTGCATTTCTCTTCAATCACTTATTATATATAAAATATTTTGTGATTATTTTATGTAATTTCTTTAGTTATGCCTATGTTTTGTAAACATGTCACAATTTACAGATGTTTAGGTGAGCGGTGTAAACAGGGGAGAAAAGTAAACAACCTATCTAAATGAAAATACAATCTCCAGTCTCTATTCTTTACGTACAAATTAGGACTTGTAAGTTAAAACTTAAAACTCTTAAGAACCTTATGCACTGGTGTGGATATCAAACTTACCGCCAAATAAGTGGCATCCATCATTTTTATAACAGGCCAGCAAATAGTGTGATCCCCATTTTGTTCCCAATTTTATGTTACTGGAAACACTAAGAGAGGTGTTTATTTGTGCTCAAAAATAACATTTTAAAAGAAGAATAATTTTACTTTAGCTAAGAAAGATGTACATGTTTTTTAAAAACTTAATTCAAAGCATTATAAGAGATAGAAAATTACATCATAACCATTCAAATTACAAAAAGATTTTATAAAATAGCAACCTCTCTGTCTCATAAGAGAATAATCTTTTAAATGACTCTATCAAAATGTACTTGTTTACTAGTAATAATTGAAAACCAACTATGCAATTTTCTGGTATTAAGAGTAGATTTTGCCCTGGTACAACCATTCATTGCTACTTCTCCCACATGCTTGGTATACTATCTACTAGAAGAGTCCAGCAAATGAATTGAAGAGAAGAAAACATTTAAAAGTATACATTTTAATTTGTTTATTATTTACCTTTTTTAAAAAAAATTAAATCATAACTGTATACATTAACGCATTTATGTGGTATAATGTGCTGATTTTATATACAATTTGGAATGCTTACATCAAACTGGCTAACATAGCCTTCACTTCACTTAATTATTTGTGTTAAGACATTTATACTCTACTCTAAATAGATTTGACATAAACCCTTGCATTATGCACAGGTGAGGTCTCACCAATTATTGTCCCTCCACCTGGCCCCCTCCTCTCCTCCCCTCATCCTCCTTTTCCCTTCTTCATTCTGGACTATAGTTGTGTTTTATCATTCGTATGAAACTGTGGGTGATTATATATTGGTTTCATAATAGTACTGAGTACACTAGATACTTTTTCTTCCATTCTTTAGATACTTTACTAAGATGAATATGTTCCAGCTTCATCCATAAAAGATGTAAAGTCTCCATCTCTTTTTATGGTTGCATAATACAATCCCACAATTCCTCTATGAGGTATATATCCAGATGACCAAAAACCATTTTACAACAAAGATATTTGTACGAGAATGTTTATTGCAGCCCAATTCATAATTGCCAAGTCATGGAAGCAGCCCAAGCGCCCAAAGATCCATGAATGGATTAACAAATTGTGGTATATGTATACCACGGAATTTGTTCATTTTAAATGGAATTCTAAAAAACGAAAGAGCTAGGCCACCAGGAGCTAACTTTGCAAATACAGAACCTACAGGGGGTGGGGGTGGGTAATGAGGCAGGTTCATAGTAAAACCCAGCTCCTACCTGCTACCGCTTTGCATCTTTGGCTTTATTTTGTTTAGCAGAACTGGGCATTTTCCCTCATTCTTCTCATTTTGACCTCTGATAATCCAAACCTTGGCTTGACAAAATTGACCCTGTTCTTTTACATCCCTGACCTTATTCCTGTGGCTAAATATCCCATCCCTAGGCACAGTTTTGTGCTTCTGATCCAAACCTGGTAATCTGACCTTGATTACGGGTCATGAGCTTGATCCTGACTCTACTCATTTGGACTGCCACTCCATTTACCTCAATGTACATTAACGTAAGCATAAAGGCTTAGCAACACAGCCACTATATGAATTGAACGACTGCTTTTTTACCCAAGATGAATTAAAGGAGAAATCTACATCCAGGCTTTAGCAAAGGTAAATTCCTAAAAGAAAATGCGTGCATACTGGGAAAATATAAAAGAACAAACGAAATATTCCGAGAATTAGTTTATATATTAAACATCAAAAAAGAAGAATTTAATCATAGAATATATGAAATTAAAAAGGCCAAGCATACAAGTTTTCCTCTATTATAAATAGAGATGAAAATAAAGTTCCTCAGTTCTATCACGTAGGTTTACTCCTAAAGGAGTAGGGAAAGGGGTAAAATGTTTCAAATCAAGAAAAATGCAGCTCCTGAAAACCAACAGAAGGCTGCAAAAACCTATAGCTCCCTATGTTCATTCTGGTATCTCTCTCTCTCCCAATCGCTCTCAAAAAAGAATCTCGCTTCTCAGAAAGAAAACTTTCCATCTAATGCTCCCATAGCTTAGAATGGCACAACGGCTACTTTAATCTTACAGAGAACAGAGGAGCATACAGATTAAGGATAAAATATTTCTGATCTGATAATACCTAACATAATGAGATTAGTATTTTAAGGACTAGTGGTTAATTATAAAATATAACTGATAAGTTTTTTATTATTTATTTATTTTCTTATTTATTTTTTGATTTTGGACCCTCTAATATTAAGACGTAATCACAACAGCAATTTGAAATTAAAAACGATAACAAATGCTAGCATTTTGGAACTCGGAATTAAAAGTCATAATAATTGTTAACATTTATTGGGAGCTTACTATGTGCAAAGCGCTATTCTCTACACTATACAAATTTCTATTTTTACTTCCCATTGATACTATTAGATAGGTACTATTACTTCTTCTATCTTAAGACAAGAAAATGGGGACAGATATTACTAACTTGCCCAGGAACAAAATGATAATAAGAGCTGGAATTCAATCCCAGGCAATTCCACAGACTGAAACTCAGTATTATATATATAATCCAGATAAAATCTTACCAAGAAATGATGGATGCAGGGCAAGAGCACAATATCTGCTAAAGTGAAGTAAAGCCCTTCTGCAAACACGTGTTCCAGGGGTGGAAGGTCAGAGGCTTTTGCTTTTCTGATGTGAGCTGGTTCCCTGTTGGTAGTAGTTGCTTCTTCCTGCACTGTGAGCTTTGAGAAGGCCACTTTCAGTTCCAGACTCTTGAACGAAGAGTCGAAGTCTTCAGATGTTTCCTGGGTATTGACCTTGGTCTTTGTTTTTTGCTTAGGAAGGGGAAGCCCAACTTTAGTGGCCTTCTCTTGCTTCAGCTTCTGCCTACGGAGTTTATCATCATTATGGACTCTAACAGGCTCACTGAACTTTTTCTCCAGCTGTAGTATTTCTATAGGGATAACCAGGGGCTGCTGAGAAGACACTCTGAGAAAATTCTCAATAACCAAAGGGATGGTGAGTTCACATAACCTGGTCCACTGACTAACCTAAAAGACAAAAACAAAATTAGAAGTGAAAGGATTCTTTACTTTGAACATAGCTTGAAGAAAAAGAACTGTCTTACTGGGAGATTAAGTCTTGGGCTTTTATGTTTTATCAAGGAACAGATCACACTGCTTCACAAGTAAAAACATTTAAGCAATGGAAGACCTGGCATTCCTCCGTCCTCCTTTTACTGAACAATCATGACTTCCCAAAGCCTTTAAAATATACTTGCCCAGTCCCACCCTTCAAAAAAGCAGGACTTCCAAAGCATGGCTATTTGAGCTCCTATTTATATGTAAACATTCCCTTTAAAAATTCTCAATGTAATTAAAATGAAGGATTAAAATAAGAAATTATTTTCTAAAAATACTACATCCAAACTTCATAAATTAAATCTTAAATTTTTATTTTCCAGTGCTGTACTGAAATATTGGCATACACAAAGAACAATTTTATTAGTTATTGTGAGTTTTTTTAAACAATGAATTTTTATTCCCAATAGGAAGTTAAGGTCCATGTTCAAGTAAATAAATATGTTATCATTTTGTAGCTTCAAGTAACAGAAGAGAGAGACATTATACTTACTTCAGCACAGGCTTTTAGGCAAGTCTTTTTAAAACCAAGAAGTTCCAAAATTTCCTTCTTTGAAGGGTCTGCATCGTATGACTTCTGGATTATATGTCTTAGTACAACAGCAAGTCCCGCTCTACAAAAGTTGTCTGGTTGTTCTACTGCTGCAGGTAAACAGCAATTCTGGACTATTGGTGGAAGCTCTTGCCTTGAAATAATCTGTATTTTAAGATCCTGGGACAGTACATCTTTTAGTAATGAACTGTCTGTACTTTCATGGGTGAGAACTAAGCAAACTTTAAAGATTTTGCAGTCACAGTACGATAACAAAAATAAAGTCACAGATGTATGAAGAGGAAAGATGCATCCTTCTGTTCGGTGAGAAAAGTCCAGGTATAAACATTCTTCTGTAGGACTTTTCTTCATGCCTTTCATTTTCTTCTTTCATCTGGTCACCTAAACCACAAGTTGAAGTGGTTATAAATCTTAGAATACAATGATTTAGAAGCTAAAAAAGAAGAAGAATGTTTTAAAAAGCCTGCTCTAGAAATCAGACAAAATTTGTGATAGATAAAAATGCTCTAAGAATTTGTTCCTGAAGACTGGCTAAGTAGCTTTGAAAGGAAACATTTCCATCCTGTGCCTTTAAGGAGGCTTACTGGTAATTTTACACCCAGCTTTTTTAAAATAAGAATACCCCAATGTTTTGCAGTAGAACTCTCCTAATCAAGTACTTTCGGGTCTGACTGTAGGTGAGAAGAGCAGAAAAATAGAACGGGAAATAAGACATCAGCCCTGAACCCTGAGAGTAGTCTGGGGTAACAGCCTTGAGCTTTTAACAATGCCAGTCCTTCCACAGTGCTTCTGTTTTATGACAGTACAATACAAGAATCAGAGAAGGTATATGCATTCCTTCATGAGAAAAAGGTTCTCCTAAAATAAGGGATGAGCTGTCGAGTACTAAATCACAAAATAGAAAAATATTTTGATTTCCCCATAACATAGATGTTGATAGCTGCCATAGCTCAAAGTTAACATGTCCCAAATCGAGTTCCTTATTCTGCCTCGCTTCCCAAACCTGCTCTTCCTGCATTTCCCTATCACCGCTGACAGAACAACATCCTCCTTGTTTCTCAAACCAAAAACCTGGAAGTCATTCTTAAGTATTCTTTTCTTTTATATGCCTACAACGGATCCATTACAACTTATTTTGGCTCTACCTTCAGCATATATCCAGAATCTGACCATTACACAGTATTCTCATTGCTTTCACCAAACCACCAGCCCCTCTGCTGAATTATAGCAACTGCTGGCTTCCTATCTTACCTCCCCCGTGGTCTGTTCCCAATACAGCAGCCAACGTGATCCGTTAAAAATGAAATAAGATCAGGTCACTACTCAGCTTAAATCCTCCAATGTCTCCCTATCTTACTCAGAGAAGAGCCAAAATTTCTATAATGGCCTATTTACAAAGATCTCCTTGATCTAATATTCCTCTTATAAGTCTATAAAGCCCATGAATTTACTTCATCGACTCTCTTCATTGCCCAATGCTTCAGCCAAAGTGGACGGTTATTCCTTTAAAACACTCTGGCACTTGGTTTTTCCAGTACCTACCACAACCCCTCACTGCCTTCAGGTATTTACTTAATGGCAACTTCTTACCAAGACCTTCCCTGGCAAACTCCAACACTGTTTTTTATGTTTATATATACACGAAGCAGGAAGTATTGGACAAATGAATGTATAGATAAATATAGAGGCTATTTAAAAAATGCAAAGACATACATTCTTCAGGTCAAATTACTGATGGGTGTTTTCAAGTTATACTTGTTAAGGCTTTTATCAATTATTGTAACTTTTTATGTTTGATACATACATTTTCTGGGTCCAAATTTCCCAAAGTTCTAATCTATAAATCATAATTCCCAAACTGCCACTAGATGGCACTCTTTAAAAGCATTCACCATGGATGTACTGAGAGGATGGCACATTAACAGGAAGAATTATTTTAAAAGCCTTTTAAAATAATTTTAAACATGGAACTCTTTTAAGAGTACCTGAAATTTTTGTGTACTTTTAATTTTAGGAAACTTTCAATATACTACATTTTTGGAATATGCTAAATCCTTTTTTTTTTTTAAATCAAAAGCAGAAGTCAAAGCCTTTTGGTTCTCCATTTTTCTTTTTTTTTTTACTTAAAGAGCTTATGATCCAATATAAGAAAGGAATATAGTAAATGCCATCACAGAAAGTTTCTTGGTAATAGATAAAACACCTATTGATCACAAACCTTGTGATTCTTTCTACCTACCTATCTTACACATACATACCTTTTGGGTTAAAACAACAGATTTACACCATGATTCATTACTTCTTAAAAGATTATCTGGGGAAAATTATTTTATGTAATTTACAAACAACAACTTTTTAACCCACCCATACCATTTTCTCCTTGAGCTTTATTACTTTTGGGGGGGGGCATGTAGGGCTGATTATAAAACAAAATATTAAAGGGTATTTATTACAGTTCAAAGCTTATAAAATTTTTACAAAGTGGAGAGAGCTCTTGAAATACTTCTTTCTTTTTTTTTTTTTTTTTGAGATAGAGCCTCAAGCTGTCCCCCTGGGTAGAGTGCTATGGTATCATAGCTCTGAGCAACCTCCAACTCCTGGGCTCAAGCGAGTCTCCTGCCTCTGCCTCCCAAGTCGCGGGGACCACAGGCACCCGCCACAACGCCCGGCTATTTTTTGGCTGCAGCCATCATTGTTGTTTGGCGGGCCCGGGCAGGATTCGAACCCACCACCTTAGGTGTACGTGGCTGGCGCCTTAGCCACTTGAGGCACAGGTGCCGAGTCGAAATATTTCATTGTTAATATAACACCTTTGCCATAAGTCCTAAAGAAAATCCAAACAAAGTGTGGTCCATAGCAACACTAAGGCAAAAGAACCAACAATGCACCTAGAAACTGACTGCTGATTAACTTACCAGTCCTCTGACTCACTCTCCGGACTATAAAAATGTCCCCAAAGTGCTTTAGGAAGGCAGATTTGGGAAACAAACAAACAAACATGATTTCCTCATTTGCTCAATGCTCTAAAAAAATAGTTATGAGACTATTTTTGTAGTTATGAGTCCTGTCACCACCCTTTTAAAACAATGCCACGCTATTTTACAGGATTTAACACACGTAGAAAACAGAACAAGCCATCAGAGTACATCTATATTTGCCCCTTTTCAAGGCACATAATCCATGAAAATAGACTTTTATATCTATTCTATAAATTCTTCTCATTGTTAGCACTTAATAAATGCTAAATGTCAACACAATAGCAATAACCTACCCACGGTTATATCTAAAATTAACGAGATGCCCGAGAGAAAATGCAAAGTACTGTTGATTCTTAACATAATTTTTTTCAATACAGATGTTAGTGTTTTTTTCTCAGAGATTACAAATGTCACTTAATGATCTTAGAGTTAAAAAATATTACTCTCCCTGGGCAATTTCTTTCCATTATGTACTAATATAATTTTTACAATAAACATTAAATATTTAATAAACCTGTAGTAATCTGAAATGTTTCTGGCTTGCATTATGTCTTAATTTTTCAAGAGTGGAACACAGTTTTTGCTCAAAATTTTCCAATATCATAGGCAAAAGCAAACTTCTTATTTTCTTGTCCTTTACTACTTTGAGAATGCCTTAGTTCGTAATTCTATGCCACGTGCTTTAAGAAGGTAGGCACTATATAATCGACTTCTGTGTCTCTGGGGCTTCTGGGCACAGCTCTTATGACTCCTGCCAAGCACAGTAGTGTCATTTGGTCTTTCTCGGTTTTGACAGGTGCCACACTGTACCTACTCCTGAGGAGAAAGCAGCAGACAAAAGCACAAACTTCAGGAGCTGATGGGGTGTGCACCTCTTTCCTGGATAAGCCAGTTTGCTTGGAAAGCTCATGGAAGGAATAAATAGGTGAAAAACAATGAAAGCTTTGGCTTCTTTATTTAGGATTCTTTAAAGACATTTTTAAATGCCAGAATAAGTGACAGGTTTAAGATTTAGGCATTCAGAGTTCCTTTGCATTTTCATTCTAATAAATATAACTTAATTTTGATTAATTATAATATTTCACATATAAAAAGAGAAATGAGTGTTTATAAGTGTTTTCTTATCTAAAACTATTTTACTACTCCACTCCCTGCACGTTTTAGTGTGTATAAACAGTAAACATTAAAAATGTGCATACTTCACGATCTAGTAAAAAAAAGGGTGAAAGTGTGCTCAGAATTGAATTCCACATCTGTGGCATTATGTATATTATTATATAATAGATAAATTATATAATACAAATTACAATTATACAATACAAATACAATATATATTATAAATTACATAATACATTATTAATATATTATAATTATATCATTTATAATATTATAAATATTGTTATTGACAATAATTATATTGTTAATTATAATATAATTTATATATTATAAATTATGTAATTATTGTATACAATGCATAATTTATATTATAAAGTATATAATATATATACATATACATCTACAATACATAACTGCATCAAATTATGAACCAGTAATTTGTGGGGTTTTTTTGGTTTTGAGTTTTTTTTTTTTCAAATAAGGTCTCTGTATCCGAAATTCAATAGTAGCTCAATAAATATTAGGTGAATAAACAAAGATTTTTAAATATTACACACATTTTATTGCCTATCTACTATGTGCCGAACACACAGAACTTAAGCATTATTTCTTTCTTTCTTTTTTTTTTTTTAAGAGACAGTCTCATTTTGTTGCCCTCGGTAGAGTGCCGTAGTGTCACAGCTCACAGCAACCTCCAGCTCTTGGGCTTAGGCGATTCTCTTGCCTCAGCCTCCCAAGTAGCTGGGACTATAGGTGCCTGCCACAATGCCTGGCTATCTTTTTGTTGAAGTTTGGCAGGAGCCAGGTTCCAACCGCTAACCTTGGTATAGGGGGCGGGCCCCCTACTCACTGTGCCACAGGCGCTGCCTTAAGCATTACTTCTTTATTTATTTTTTATCTAATTTTTTTTGAGACAGAGTGTCTCTTTGTTGCCCAGCCTAGAGTGTAGTGGTGTCATCATGGCTCACTGTAACCTTAAACTCAAGTGATCCTCCTGTGTTAGCCTTCTGAGTAGTCCATAGTACAAGCACACAACACCACACTGAGTTAATTCTTTTTTTTTTTAAGACACAGGGTCTCACTAGTGCCGGGAATGATGTGGGACTCCTAGGTTCAAGCAATCCTCCCCTCTTGGCCTCCCAGAGCGCTAGGATGACAAACAGAACTTCTGCATTACTTCTAATCATCACAAGCCTTAAAAGTACACTTTATTTTCATTATATGTACAAGAGTTGTACATCAGTTCCAAAGGCGTTACAAAGATCTACAAAGAGATCTTATCTGAATGGGTATTTTTTTATAAATGTAGAATTTCATAAATTGAAGCATATTATAATTTTGTTGCAGCGATAATTTTGCCAAAATGATAAGCATCAGAAATTATGTTATTTTAGGCAAATATGCTGGTCTAATACTCCACAAAATACTTCCATTAAGAAGTTCAGGTTACGTGACAAGTCTCAGTCCTGGCTTAAGATCTTTGGCAGTTCCTTCCTGATTCCTATCATCAGACTTCTCAGTGATCCATGGTGAAGTGCTTTTTCCTCTTCTAGGTTTATACTCATTCTTTTGCTTACCGGTTTTCAAACTTTTGATCATGCTACACAGTAAGAAATACATTTTATAATGCAGCACACTATATACTGAATAAAACTGAAAAATGTCACAAAGTATTATTATAATTATGTAGGATAAATATGATGTTTTTTACACCGTACTTTAAAAAAATGCTGGTTGTAACTAAATCGATTTTATGTCATAGCTTTAAATATTACCAGTACCTGACTCCTATATCTCAGTTACAACCTTTCCTTCTGAACACCAGACTCCTATATTCTACTTGACATCTCTACATGAATGTTCTTCTCAACCTGACCCTTCCTTAGTGGTACACTTCTTTGTAAAAGTTTCACCCAGATGCTCAGACCATAAACTCTGAGGTCCCACTCAACTCTCTCCCTCTCATACCCTGCCATTTTTACATTTGAAATGTATGCTAAATACAACTCCTTAGCTCCTCCACCATTACCACCTTCATCTAAGTCAGCGGTTCTCAACCTGTGGGTCGCAACCCCTTTGGACTGTATTAAAGGTTTGTGGAATTAGGAAGGTTGAGAACCACTGATATAAGTTATTACTACCACTTACAATGACCATTGTGAAAGCCTATTAACATTTTTGCTCCACTCTCCTCCACGCACAGTCCATTCTTCAATAGTCTGGGTGATCCTTTAAGATATCAGGTCATGTCCCCTCCTCAAAACCATCCAACTGTTCCCTGCACACTTAGAATGTGTGTGCACTAAGAATGTGCACATTCTTAGTGTTCCGAGCACACTTAGAATGAAATCCAAATTTCCTATTATGACCTATAGGCTTAATGTGACCCCTTCTATCCTCCCTAACTCCCTTCCAGCCATAGTTCTCCTTGCTATTCTTGGAAGATGCCAGAAATGCTCCCACTTGAGAATATTCGTATTTGCTATTTCCTTTGCCTAAAATGCTCTTCTTCAAGATATTCACGTGTTGCCTCCTCAGTTTACTGATTTCTCTTCATAAATATTACTTCAGAGCAGCCTCTCCTGGTTACCTATATAAGCCCTCCCATCACTCCCAAGCCTCTTGCCCAGATTTCATTTCCTTCATAGCATTCATCACCTAACATTATAATATTTCCAACGCTTAAAAGTACTCAAATTTTAATAGATGGTAACTATCTCTTTTAATCTCTCTTTTAATCCTCTCAATTAATCTTTCATGTATATGGACTAAGGAAGGGCAGAAAAAAAAGTACTCAAATTTTAATTCAAGGAATAAATGAATTAATGTACATAAATGAATGTCAGCAATCACTGTCATGAGAGTACTACTGAAAACTTCATACAACAGGAATCTCATTCTTCACACCATTCTTTTGCTTCCAAATTGATTGATCTACATTAAGGCCTAACTAAGTCCAGTTAAAATAAAGAAATGGGATCACCTTTGTGAGCTGAATCAGAAAAAAGTATAACTGGACTGTATCTAAATTTGTTAATAAAGAAAGCCTAGCATTTTTTATGCATATTGATATTCAGGCAAGAGAACCAAGAATCTTAAGATTCTACATACTTATCCTACAAGTAGAATACTTATACAATAAGAATTATAAAGTAATGGATCAGAGTCCAGACTCTTGAGTCAAATAACTGGGTACAAGTCCTGGTTCTGATTCTTAGTAGGTGTAACAAGTTTTTATATACCTCAGTTTCCTCATCTACAAAATGGAGACAAGAATAATAGTACATGTCTACAGTATGCTGTGAGAACAGAATAATTCCTGTCATATGGTCAGCCTCTAAACCAGTGGTTCTCAACCTTCCTAATGTCGTGACCCTTTAATATAGTTCCTCATGTTGTGGTAGCCTCCAACCATGAAATTATTTTCATTGCTACTTCATAACTATAATTTTGCTACTGTTATGAATCGTAATGTAAATATCTGATATGCAGGAGATCCGCAGAGGGGGTTCTTTTAGAGAACCGCTGCTCTAAAAAAATAATAGTTACTATCATTCATTTATAAGTTATCTCCAAATTCTTTATCCTCTGACTCTATTGAAATTTACAAACTCTGATGGACAAAACCTAAGTCATGCTTTGCACTGCCAAACTACTTCCCATGAAAGGCAAGGGATTCATGTTAAATTGAAAAACTCCCCTCTCCCCAATACTGAAAAACCTTGTTACTGAGGCTGAAAGCCAGAATCATCCATATAAACCAATTATATTGTACAAAATATGTAGTTCAGCACAGTTTATGTCAAAATGACAGAGCTCTTAAATTTCCTCCTGCATTAAATGTTAGAAGTTAACCTGCGTTTTGTTTTTCATAAAACAACACTATTTAGTTACACTTCTACCATTTTATTAAAATAATATAGATTTAAAAAACAAACAAACAAAAAAGCTTACCCCTACGAAATTAATTGAGAGGCTGGTGCTGTATAAATTTTAGCTAGTTACCTTAAATAATAGAGGTTAAAGGGGAAAAAGACTGAGCTTTTTCAGAGCTCATTACATGACGTTTTATGGGATACAGTTAAGTCCTAGAGGTCAAAAGCCTATAACTAATTTAGCTGTTTTCTTATCTGGGCAAGAAGTAGAAGAAAAAAGTTTTTTAAAAAGCTTACCTTAACCTTAGCTATAAAGAAAGTGTGTAATCTTTTCTCTGGAGAATCAGGTGATCATTGGTTGCCATGGAGTCATAATGCTTGCAGCTAAACCTGACCTCATAATTAACAGGGATGCACAGCATGAAAGGCTAACAAATTAGAAACATCAGCAACCCTGCAATAAAATTACTGATGTCTCATAGCAAACAATACCTCTGCTTGTTATGATCTAAATGGTTTGAATCCCCACTTCCAAAGAACCAAACATAACAGAATTCAGTAGGCTACATTCACTACTGGAGGGTAAAAACAACATATACTAGAGATCTGCATATACTACAGATGCAGTTTGCTGGTTTCAGAATTTGTTTCAAAGGCTTTCTAAATTGTTGCTATTAAAAAGGCCAATTGGTTACTCAATTTTTTCCAACCATAGCTCATGATACAAAAGCTGCCAAGTATTCTAAAACAGGCTTAAAAACAAAACAAAACTAAAACTTGATGAGTCCAGTACTACAGAAAAAAATGATTCTCAAATCTCTTGGACTTTTTCAGACTTATTTTTTGAAGTTAGGCTTCACAAAATGATTCCTTCAGTTATAACCCAAACATACTTTCAAGTAACGAGTATGCTTAAGGCAAATCTCTCTCAGTAGTGTATGTTCCCCACCAGGTAGTTTTAAAAAACCACATAGAGTAATGTCTGATGTATTAAACATGACAGCAAATCACTCAGTTGTGTTATAACAGTTTATTTTCATAGTTTATTTATTTTTTGAGACAGAGTCTCAAACTGTCACCCTCGGTAGTGTACTGTGTGGCGTCACAGCTCACAGCAACCTCCAACTCTTGGGCTTAAGCAATTCTCTTGCCTCTGCCTCCCAAGTAGCTGGGACTACAGGCGCCCGCCACAACGACCGGCTATTTTTTTGTTGCAGTTGTCATTGTTGTTTAGCTGGCCCAGGCCAGTTCGAACCTTCTAGCTTCGGTGTATGTGGCTGGCGCCGTAACCACTGTGCTACAGGAGCCAAGCCTATTTTTATAGTATTTAAATGACCATGTTTGCATGTTTAAATTTGTTACATCACTAGTTCTGGCTAGATTTTGCATTTTCTCCTGTAAACACTTTCTGTAGATAGGCTTAGGAAAAACATTAAGTATGCTACTTAATCAATTTCGAACAAGATATATTATTAAATGCTAGTATTTTCTTGAAATTCAAGAATTTGTAACAAAGAATTGGATCCTGGCATTAAGAATAAAGGCAAAATAACAAGTCACTTAGCACCAAAACCAGAGAGAGAGTTGGGATGGAAAGCTTGTGTACCATCAATGTTTTTGAAGCCAAAGCAACTTTCAAGAACCTCACAACAACTTTCCATAGACGTTAAAAGCCAAAGAGAAGCAATGCTTTGATAATGTAACATAAGCAAATAGCCCAAATGAAGTAAATCCTTTGGAGTAACTGTAAAGTACTATTGACATACAACTGGTTTCTCTAAGCAGAAAGGTCTGGAAAGAAAAATTAAGTGCCACACAAGAGAAAAAAAGTTAGTGTAATCCAAGGGCTCTTGAAATTACACTGATCAGCAAACCACCCCCAACCCAGCAATTGGAAGCTGCTCCACTCCTCTAACTCCATAGAAAGACATAAAAGACTGACTCAGGGGAAAACTGGGAAACGCGTACAACTAAGAAGGGAGCCAGAGCCCTCAACCGGCACCTTCAGGCGCTGTGATCAAAAGGAAGGCTGAAGTGGCCCCAGGGCTGGAGATCAATAATTCCACGCCCTCGCCTTTCCCACATCCTCAGCCCTGTCGACCTGGATGCAAGGAGCCGTCACAGTCTGGGAGGCTGAGAAGTTGGCGGCTCCAGCCCCCTCTTTACCTGGTCGCAGAGGCGCGGCCAGGCAGGGAGGGTGAGTGAGAGTGTTGGCGAAGCGGCTGCCGGCGTCTTCTCGCCCAGCTGGAGCAGGAATTTCAAGGCTGCTTCTGGAAGCTGCCGCCCGCAGACTAGAGGCTTCCACAGAATCCAGGAAGGAAAAATAACAGGTAGTACATCCGAAAAATACGCGCGCCGGCGGTCATTCATAATCCGGCGGACCGGAAGCTAGGTATTGCGTCACTTCCTGCTGTGGCACGGCCAAACGTCTCCCCTCGGCCCTGCAGCCAGGAACCCTTCTTTTCCTCGTTCGGAGCTGGTAGGGCGGGGACCGGTTCGGAAGGGGCCACCGGGAACGGACGGAGTGGCGGGGCGGAGCGGTGAGTTGTGACGAGCGATCCCACTCCCAGCCGCCTCAGAGTGGCTCGAGACCCCCGCGAGGGGCAAGGGCGAGGTGCGAGAGTAGCTCTGTGGGGATTTAGTTTCCTCGCTCTTTGAGAGAAACCTTATAATGTGCGGTGGCTGCGATCCTCACCCGGACCGCTCTTTCCTTTCAGTGAGGACTATGCTTCCTCCGAAGTGTGGACTGGGGCACGCGGACCGAGGACAGTCCTAGGACTGGGCACGGTGTTTCAGCCCTTCGTCGGAGGGTTTTGGCGACTTCTCTATACAGCTCCCTCATTCCTTCTGTCGTCTTCTGGCTTCCTATTCAAGGACCTTATCTCATGCTAGGCCTTCGGTGTGTCTTGCTTTGATCAAAGAATTGACATTCCTTTTTTAAATGCTGTCGCTTTCAGCTCCACCACTCGATTGGTTTGGATTCGGGGTCTTTTCTCCTGCCTTGCTAAGTTGTCTGTGTAATCCAGAACCAGGAACTGGGTAGAGGAATGAATAGGACAGCATCTCCAGAAGAATGCTTGTTGAAAGGGGTTGCAAGACCGTGCAGAGACGTGAACGACAAAGTTTTCTGAAGTTGTTAGAAAATGGTAACCCTAATATTGCACCGTGTGTGAATAGATTGTTTCCTCCACTCATGCTCGTATAAATGATCAACTTTGGGCTTCTTTTGAGATTGGCAAGTAGGGTGAAAAACGGATCTAGGGGAAAGCAAATATTTGTATATGACTATCCACTTTTAGTTGGAGAGATCATAGAAGCCCTAAAAGTGACATTTATGCAAAAACCTAGTTCATTCATTCAGTAAATGTTTTTGAGCACCGATGAATTCCAAACACTAGGGAAATAACAGTTAACAAAATCAATCCTTCCCCAGATGGAGTTTACATTGTAGTGGGGTTAATGAATTTAGGCCAAGTGAAAAGAGGAGAGTTTTGCAGATAGGATCATTGTACAAGTCTTGAGTCATGAAAGAAGTGATTTTTGTTTGAGTTTGCTTTTGCTGTTTTTATGTGTGTGATTGTTATCTTTTGGGAGGTGGGGAGTAGCACTTTGGTTTCTTTCATGGTTTTTGCTGAAAGGAGCTTGGAAATAGAATTGTGTAGGAAAGACAGTACTCATATATTTGGTCTCTTAATCCAATAATTTTATAGCTATTATTTTGTGATACTTTACAAAGTAGCAGAGAGATGATCAAAAAGCTAAATACAGACTCTAATGTAGTACTTAAGAGTTTTATAGGGAACATAACACTGGTGCCAAAAAAAGAATATGTTCAAGGTAGAAAGTTTCAGTCCCATGAGAAAGCACTCTGAAATATACTTGGAGAGAGAGATTATTCATAGGATTTGGGCTGGAAAAGGGCACAGTGGCTGTCATTAGAATCCTGAAAAGAAATAGTATTTCCAGCCTGAGCAAGAGTGAGACCCCATCTCTAAAACCTAGCCAGGAGTTTTGGGGGGTGCCAGTAGTACCAGCTACTTGGGAGGCTGAGGGAAGAGGATTGCTTGAGCCTAAAAGTTTGAGGTTGCTGTGAGCTATGAGGCTATGGCACTCTACCTAAGGTAACAAAGTGAGATTCTATTTAAAAAAAAAAAAAAAAAGGTAGTATTGGAACTGGGTCATGATAAGACTTGGGAATATAAAAATGGATAAAAAGTTTCCCAGAGACAAAAAGTAAGAGTGGCAAGTAAATGGTTTGTTGTAAGGAAGATCTGAGGATGGCAAATAATACTTTTGTGTCAGTTAATGAATTTTCTTCACTGGTAAGCTGAGAAATTTGGACTTTATCTTGAAGGTGCTAAGAAGCCTTAATTTTTCAGCAAGAAAATTTTAGAAAATGAGAAAGAGAAAAATTGTGTCTTAGAAAAGTTAATGTGGCAACAACGCTGAAGTCTAGGAGAATAAATAAATTATTGCTATAGTTTAGGTAAGCTAAACACAGCCTGAATTTGAATAGTAGTAGTGGAAGTGAAAAACAGGACAGATGTGAAAAATATGCTATACTCAGAATCCACAGGAAAAGGCCTGCTGAGTGTTTGGAGGTAAGGAATGGTGAAGGACTCAGTAGGGAAGAAGTTAGGCTTCAGACCTGATTAATAGAGAGTGTGTCGTTTAATGAAAGAAAGAGTAGGACAGAGAACTTTTGGGAGAGGTATTCATAATCTTTATTTTAGTTAAACTGAATTTGAGATAGCACTAGGGGAACCAGGTAGTCATGTCCATTAAACAATTGGGAGTGTTGAATTCAAGCTTAAGAGATATTGAAGTAGGAATAAAATATGTGAAATCATCTGCCTAAAGATAATAGTTGAAAACATGATATGGGATTCTCAAGGAAGAAATTGGTACAGAACTAAGAAAATAGCCTAGGACACATACTTGGGTGATAGAAAAAGCAGCAAGAGGAAGAGTTGTCATAGACAGAAGAAGAAAATCAGTAAGGTTGAGTGTAACAGACTCAGCAGAGGAGAAAGTTCTAGGAAAGAGGAAGTGGATAACATGTATTTACTTTGCCAGCATTTAGCATTATCTGCTGTTTGCCGGGAACTCTATTGGGCACAAGGGGTTGTAGCAGTAGGTAAAATCAATCCAGCACCTACCCTCATGAAACTTACATTCTGATGAGAAAGAAAGGTATTATTTACATAACAGTGAGATGAATATTATGAATAAGAACAGGATGTTTTCAGACCATGTAACAGTAAAACTTCTAATTTTGATAAGGGAATGTGCAGGAAAAAAACAGATTTTGAAGGATGCCTAAGATGGGTACTTTCTACTAAAGTGCTGAGGTAAGAAAGAGTATATTGGAGGACTTGAAATATGTCATGGCTGTAACAGTGAGAATAGCCTGAGATACCAGGTAACATTTAGTGAGCATGTACTATGTACCAAGAGCTCTCACAACTATGTTTTACCAGATCATGCAGCGTATTAGCCCTTGGAATGTGAGAAGTGATAAAAAGATTTAAACTGAGTGATAGAGAAAGATTTGGAGGGTTATAAGAGTGGTTGTCACTCTTAGGATGTTACAGTGGCCCAGATAATAGATGATGGTAGGTCTGTCTACGGTGGTGATAGCAAGGGTTGAAAAAGGTGGATGGACTGAGATAAATTTAAGAAGTTTGGTGATTGAATTGAGACTGAGGTAAGGAAGCAGGAGGAGTTAAAGCTGATTCCCCGGTTCTGGCTGGAGCGATGAGGTAAATACTATTTGAAAAAGAGAATACCAGAAGAAGAACTGGTTGTGGGAAAGAGTGGAGTATATGAGTAGCTGTTAGGGACATGTTCAGTAGGAGGCATCAGTGAGATATCCAAGTCAAGCTGCAGTTGGACTTTAGAAGAGGGGTATGGGTTGAGAGATAAATTTGCAATCACTAACAAAAGATGATAGATACAATTCTCTAAATCAGTAATTCCCAAGCTTTACAGTAGATCAGAATTGCCTGGAAATTTTAGCATAGATTTCTGGGCCTGGGCCTCACAGAGTTTTTTTCATCAGTAGGTCTAGGAATGGAGGTCAAGAGTTAGATTTCTATCAGGTTCCCACATGATGCCTATGCTGTTGGGTCAGAGGACACACTTTTGGAAGAAGGTGTAGGACAAGTAAATAAGAGACCCAGAACCCAGCCTTGAGGGTCTCATTTTCAATTGGAATAGAAGGAATCTACAAAAAGGATGAGAAAGAAGTAGAGGAAATAGTATTTATTAGATTTACCTAAGGCTGTGAAATATTTTGGTTGAGAGCATTTTCATGAATGAAACCAAATTTCAGGAATTGCAATGTAAATAGAAGGATTGAAGAAAAAAGTGCATAAAATAGATAATTTTGTGAGGAAGTTTTGCTATAAAAGGGAGAAGATAGGATAGAAGAGGTTTGAATATACTTAAATGTCAACAAAAATATGCCATGCTAAAAGAAAGAAAAAGGCTAGGGGAAGACAAAAAAGATGATGATGATAATGGCATGGTAAGTAATCCAGAGGTTAGGTTCCAGAGAGTCCAGGAAACGATGGGATCCAAATACAGTGACAGGGCAGAGAGAGCCCCCTTCTCCTTTATTATCAGGTGGGAAAGAGGAAGAATGGGTGCGAGTAAGTTTGTAGAGATGATGGTAGGAAGCTAATTCCTCTCTGACAGCTTTTTTTCTTTGTGAAATAAGTGAGACCATCCACTGAAATAGTGAAGCAATTTTAAAGAAAATGGAGAAAGTATTACTGGCTTTTTGCAGAAAGTAGGGAAATGAGTTGACCAGAGAAATATGACAGGATTGCTGAATTGTGTCAAGTCGCAAAATGAGATTGGTGTCTCGAGAATACAAAGTGCGTATGTCAGGGGTCCTCAAACTTTTTAATCAGGGGACCAGTTCACTGTCCCTCAGACCATTGGAGGGCCGGACTGTGGGCCCCGGGATGAGTCGCTAAGTCCTAAGCAGGATAGGCAGTGGCAGCAATAACACCCAGTGGGCCAGATAAATGTCCTAGGCCAGCCACATGTGGCCCGCGGGCCGTAGTTTGAGGACTCCTGGCATATGTCTTCCTCTCAGCTGCACTTAGAGTTTGGGTGCAGGCAGGGAGAAGATGGCTCGCAGGGTGGATATGTACAAAGTAGGTGAAACTGTAGACCTTGGAGGCAAGGGTGCATAGAGTACTGGAAGAATCATTGAAAGATGGGACCATGGAATGAAAGCTCAATAGGAAGTATAGTGGCATGCTGCAATAAGTCAAGGACAATAAGAGGATTGTTTAGTAGTGGGAATTTGTTATGTGTATGCTTTGCCACGGACAATGCCTAGCATGACCTAAGAATTCACACGTGTCAATCAACACCACTACTACCATTTCCCTAGGTCACTGACAGTTTTAGAGCAGTAAATATTAATTTTCTCACATTCTTATTTCTTAAAAGCAATACCTGGGTTTTTAAATTCAACCTTCATTAAATGCATTAATTTCTTTCTTTCACGGTATATTTTTTTTTCTTTCCCATACACATACACACACAGAGGACTTTTTAGAACTCTGATCTATGTTAAAAAATGATGTGGTTCTTTTATAGTGTGTTTTGGTCATAGATTTGGGAATATAACAGGAAAGGAATTGTATGGAAGTAACATAATTTGGTGTAACCTTAGGGAAATAATTTTAGAAATAGTAAAGGAAATAGATTGACAAAGTTACACTGTAGTTGCTTCAGTGACTTCTCCTTGACTTCAGGAGAAAGTAAATTTCATGTACTATGTGTGTATTTGCCAGTAAGAAAGGAGACGTCAATAGGAATTAGAAAAAAAAAACAATGGAAAAAGGAGAGTAGAAGTAAGATAGAAAACTAAAGTATAAAGGATAAAACATAACTGTGAGCATTTTATTTTAGGCTCAACTATTATTTTCTGTTGAGTAATAGAAGTCAGGGCAAGAAGGTCCCAATAAAGAGAAAGCAGAAGGGACAAAAATTGGAGGCCTCTATAAATTTAAAGAACAACTCTCATGGAAGTAGAGAGATGAATAAATAAACTGAAAAGAAAGATTGACTTGGTACCTTGAAGAGTTTCATGACTCAAGACGGTGGAACAAATAGAGTAATGGAAGATTGTAGTCAAAAAGAACAGTTGTGGCAAGTTTCAGCTTTTGCTGACTAAAGATGACGCTCCTTGAGGTTGAAGATCTAAATGAACTGAGTATAGAAAGTTGGGGAAGATCATCAGCATAAATGCTAAAATTGTTAAAGATGATGGTACAGGGAGAAAAAGAAGGTCAGCTTGCTCTATATGTTATAACAGTGAAAGTGAGATATGGATGTCTAGAGAAGATGTTGATACAACGTGGTCTTGCAATATTTTTCTAAAAGCAGCAATATAAAGACCCCTTTAGACCTCTCTTTGCTCTTTGGGAGGAAACAAGTCGAAGGAGCACAATTTTGGAGAAGATTATAAAGGAGGTGATGTCTTTTGTGAGAGGAGTAAGGAAGAAGTACTTCAGGAAAAAGTGGAACAGGGAGAGGTGCAACGAACAGGAGCTGGAAGACGATTGGTAGATGGCAATGAGGTTAATGTGGAGAGTGAGAAGTGATGAGCTGAATGAGAGTGCCGGAGGGATTTGCCAAGGGGAGGTTTTTTGGTATCTTAGAGCAGCCATGATGTATATAAGAGGGAAAGGGGAAACTAGAAGTTGCTAGATAGTCTAGAGCAGTGGCCTCCAAACTTTTATTTATTCCTTGAGCAAAAGAACTGAGCATTTTTCATACATATGTGATTAGTCGTCAGTTGTATACATGGATTATTATTCCTCTGTATATAAATAGCTTTTTTAAACAAAAATATATAGCAATTTTAATATTTTTTTTCTTGTATTCCACTGTGGGGACCACTGGGGCTAGTTGTGGCACGTGTGGAAGAACTGGTTTCAAGGTTCCAATTGGAATGTTGGTGTTCATGACTTCTGTAGTCTTGTGCTGATTGACACCTGATCTGTAACGTAAACCTTTTATCTGTGATTATAAAAATATATAACGACAAAACTTGGCTTTCATTTTTCAGCATAGAAATTTCAAGTAATGGTTTTTATAATATATCACGAGGCTTCTTCTAAGTATCAACCCTTTTGTCATTACTCAATAAAATAGGATAAGTAAACTGCTATTCCATTTAGCTATGTAAAAACAGATGAATAGAAAGGTTAGGCTGTTTTCTCCTTGTTCATTCTAGAAGAGTGGTGGGTTTACCCTTTTAATCATGGAAATTTTATCGAGGAGCCATTTTTTTCTCAAACGTATGTGGTAATCAGCCCTGTGAGTAAATTTTAAAATACCTTTTTGTACCTCTTGTTACGTAGAGGTGATGTAGGTAATAACGTAATATTAAGAAGTAACAGGGTGCTTCTCAGTTTTCTTAAGCTCTTACTAATACGATTTGAAATGCGGTTACTTTTTCATTCTAATATTGGCCTTTAGACTCCTTTTCTTGGGTGATTGAGATGATATTTTAGTAGAGCACAGAATTTGACAATTTTGGTGTTATCAGGTAGATAACTAGTAGCTTCTTGGGAACTAAAAAAAAAAAAAAATGACCAGGCATATGTGTGTGTTTCTCCTGTGACCTGGAAAGGGCTGAGGACGGAAGTAAGTGGAAGGAAACAAACAAAGTCCCCTTTCAGACCGCTTTCATATGAGAGAGTCAACCTACAGCAAGTTTTTGGTGGTGTTACAGACCTCTGAAAATAAGAGATGACTGTGCAATTGCTGCCAGATTTTAAGTAGATATGGTACTCAGAGACCTTATTGTTTAAAAAATAGGTTAATGCAATCTAAAGATGACCTAATGAGGATATCAGTATGTTCCAAGTTTGGGGACAAAGACAAAGGCTCCCGTCAACCATTGCCTTCCTGTGATACCTCCTGCACATACAAACACATACACAGTACATCTTTGGTTTTGTCATGGAAATAAAGTTTGAGAGAAATTTTGATAGTTAACTTGACCTAAACACATCAAGTTCTGTGTACTGAAACTATAAGTGTATCTTTGAAGAGAGAGGTAGGAAGGGGCTCTGTAGCAGGGAGAAGGTTATCTGGTTTTAAAATTTTGCCATGGCTGTGGATGTACAGAAAATAGTAATGCTGGTTATTTCAGCAGGAAAGAATCAGGTAAAGCCAGTCAGGAGTAAGAAGGAACTTTGCTTTTATCGGTAATAACCTTCTGGACATTTTAAATTTTGTATCATGTGCACAGTATTATCTATTATAAACAAAAGAGCGAAATAGGTAAAACTTTGTTGACATAAATAATTGTACTTTTTCTCTAAATTACTCCCCCTCTTTTTTTCCTTCAGGTGTTTGCAATGGCTGCCTCTGTGAACCTGGAACTTGATCCCATTTTTTTGAAAGCACTGGGTTTCTTACATTCAAAGAGTAAAGATTCTGCTGAAAAGCTGAAAGCACTGCTTGATGAATCTTTGGCTCGGGGCATTGATTCAAGTTACCGGCCATCTCAGAAGGTACCTACATGAATAAAAAGCTTGGAGAGAATTTTGTAAGGCCTATAGGAATAGTTAGAGCATTTAAACCATTTCAAAATGATCTCCACAAAAATAATATTTCCTTGTGGCAAAAAGAAATTATATTCTTTAACATTCTTTTCTTCCCTCAAGTTTTCAGAGAACTGTTCGCCTTATAGAAAAACTAGCTGAGTGTGCAGAGTATTATTCTCTACTACTTTATATGTGTAGAATCCAGCTTGTTTACGAATTCCTTTACTTTCCAGTTTTTTATGATGAGAATTATTTTTTAAAGCTGCTGGATGTAACCACAAACTTATAATTATTCTCTGATGTTTTAAGGACAGAAATATAATGAAGTGAAAAGAAAGGTATTTTCAACAAAGTAAATTGTCGTGGGTAGGTTGATCTAAGAGGAAAGGAGGTGTGAGGTGCGGTTAAACTCTGAGAACTATGTAGTTCCAATAGCAATGCAGCCAGTAGGAGCTTTATATGAAAAGAATATACATTTTGGAACCAGACAAAGCTATTTTAAATCCCCGCTGACTTCTAATAGTTGTGTGGTAATAATAGGTAACATATCTTGCATGTTTGCTGTGTCCTAGGCACTTTTCTGCGTGGTTTATGTATATAATTTTAATTAAGATAACAGTCTTTTGGATTTGATATTGTTTACTTTCCTTATTTTACATAAAGTAACAGGTAAATGGCAACTTCATTTTATGAGTCTTTGTTTATTGGTAAAATGGGGATAGTATGAGTTACTTTGCATACTTGTGACAATTAAAAGAGGCAAAGTATGTCTCTTCCTTAATGTGGTATCTATCTGGTATATACAGGGTGTCCGTAAAGTTTGTAAAATTCTAAATTGCACTCTATTTTAAATTGCACACTAATTTCATGGACGCTGTGTACTAGGCTCTCAGTGAATGACAGCTTTCATTATGTTCTGTTGTACCTTAAAGACATTTTTTCAAGCTCTTCTAAAGCCCTATTCCTGAAGCTACAAGTCACTGGGGGGTGTGGACCTAGATACCAAACTGAGAAGGGGAAGATAGAACTATATGACCAGTTCAAGTCTAATCAGAATCTGAAGCTCAAGAGACAGTTATATCCCAGGTTCTTTCCCATACAAAGACTTACACGTGAATGTTTGCAACATCTTTATTTGTAATATCCCGAAACGGCAGACATCCCAAATGTCTATCCATAGGTAAACAAATTGTGGTATGTATATTCAATGGAATATTATTCTCCAATAAGAAGGAATAAACTATTGATACACACAACGATACAGATGGATGAATCTCAAAATAAATATGCTGATTAAAAGAAGCTACACCAAAAAAATGTACAATATAATTCCACTTATATACCTTTCTAAGAATTGCAAACTAATCTGTAGTTACAGAAAGATCGGGGATACATAGTTTCTCTGGGGTATATACCTGGAAGAGAGTGGTTATAAACAACCATGAGGAAATTTGAGGGGACGATGAATGGTGTTCATTATGCTGATTATAGTGATTGTGTCAGAAGTGTATGCAAATGTCAAAACTTACAAATTTTATATTTCATTAGGGGCAATTTGTATATCAGTTATTTCTTAGTAAAGTTATTTAAGAAAAGGATGTTACATTGGTTATAACATTGTATCTTAATTTTTAACTAAAACTTATTTAGGTTTCTGATCTGTTTTTTATGATGTATTAGTCTTGAATATTTAATTACTGGCTATCTTTTTATTTCACTTTTTAGGATGTGGAGCCACCTAAAATTTCAAGCACAAAAACTATTTCCATTAAACAAGAGCCCAAAACATCATCCAGTCTTCCTTCTGGCAATAATAACGGCAAGGTCCTCACAACTGAAAAGGTAAAGAAGGAAGCTGAAAAGAGACCTGCTGATAAAGTAAGTCTGTTTTTTTTTTTTTTAAACCTAGTTAAAAGCAAAAAAGAGTAAATCATTTGTTCCTCAGGCAGAAAAAAAGCAATGTTTTATGCCTACGTCTTTTACAATAATGGGTATAGGTACATAGTAATCGCTCAGTAGATAAATTTTGCTTGGTAGAGATGTTGGCTTTTTGAATGAGCAAAATTTGGAAATTTTTTGATTAAAATTACGTGGTTAATTTGTTTTAACTATTCATTGAAGTCTTTATCAATAAATATGTGAACCCTAGCAGGTATAGTAATTTTGAGTATAAACTTTAATCCATACCTCCAAGTTTAGATGGATAGTTGTTGGAAAGAAAAAATTGGAAGAGGCAAAATTGTAAATGGACATGAACTTTGTTATACAATGCATACACCTTAACAGGGCCTCAGGTAATTCTCGGGTTGTGTATTATGGATGATTTCTACAAGCAGTGATTAAGATTTTAGCAATTAATAAAAAATACTCTTGCCCTCAAGGCGGGATGTAGAATATATGTTTTTATACTTTCATTAAACAGTGACTATTCATAAACTATATTATATTATTTTCTTTACTTTTAAATTTACATAAATCATATACTGTGTATATGTATTCTTTAGTCACTTTTTCTCCACTCAACACTGTGCTTTTCTAATTTATATTTATGCATATAGATCTAGATAATTCTTTTAGGTACCACATAATATTCATTTTATGAGTAAATCAGTTTATCTGTTTCCCTGCTGATGAGCAATTAGGTCACTTTTCTTTTTTCTCTATCATATGAGGCATCATTGACCTACTTTATATATCTCTTTGCAAACATGTTAGTGGTTTCTCTAAGACACATATTTATAAGTTGATATAATAGGATATAACATCTTCAACATTATTAGGCATTGCCAAGTTGCCAAAAGTGGATATATTATATTTATGTTCTCATCAACAAAATATAAGAATTCCAAGTTCTCCATGTCTTATCAAACTTTCTAATTTTTGCCAATCTAGCAGCAATACTGTTCGTATTTATATTCTACAAAAAGGAGCTAGAATTGACTTTGACGCAAATATGGCAATGTGAAGTCTGGATGACTAAGAGATACCTCATTGTTTACTTTCTTTCAAAATATTTTAAATATTAGTAGTTTATAGTTAAAATTATTTAAAATAAATAGCCTGATTAGTGCCATGATTTCTCAATACAGAACATCTTATGGGGGGAGGGGAAATGCAGTTTCCAGTTAAATCCATTGAACTTCCAGAACTCTTTACTAGATAGAAGAGTACAGAGAGTAATACCAATATATGTTAAACTGTTCTGGTTTATTTCTAGCTTGCTGATTTCCTTTAACATACTGATTATAAGTTAGTTATAATTCTACCTTAAATGTGTGTATTACATCTGTCTCTAACAATGTGAAAATATCATCACATACTATTTTTCTTCTTCATCTCTCAGTGGTTGAAAGTTTATTCTACCGTGTTACTTTCATTATTATTTTCTGATGTGTTTTTATAGATGAAATCAGACATTCCTGAAGGCATTGATATTCCAAAGAAACCTAGATTGGAGAAACCAGAGACACGATCCTCTCCCATTACCGTTCAAACTAGCAAGGATTTAGCTATGGCTGACCTTTCTAGTTTTGAAGAGACCAGTGCTGATGATTTTGCCATGGAGATGGGATTGGCCTGTGTTGTTTGTAGGTAAGTTGTACCTTGCCACAGATTCTTTTGTTTCTTTGTAAAGAGCACACAACTCCCTCTCCCAAATCAGAATAATCATTGGGTAGTTTCCATTTTGTTTTTATTATTTGGGAGTGAGGAGGAGATAAGTAGATTATACCTTAGGAACTGACCATGTACCAATTTAGCATCTTGAAAATTGGCAAATATTTTATCTTTTTGACTATGACTTCTTTAATCTGTTATGCTGTTCTAACATTTTCTGCATTCTTGGGTTCTAGAGGGAAAATGATTATTGTATATTGTTCTTCAGTAAGGAAGAGTATTCAGTAGGTTCAATTATTTCCATCTTTTTAAGAAGTCTGTGTTGTCTTCTTTTTCTGAGTTGTTGATGGCTTTTATAAAGATAAAATTGTGTATAATTTCCCAAAATACTATTAAATCTTTTCCTATGATAATAAAAATGAAAGGAATGCTTTCTGTAGGTGTTTTAGTCATGGAAATGTTCAATTCTGTTGCACTGGGACTGAGTAAATAACTATAAGCTTTTATGAACATAATAGAGAATGAATTAATGTGCTTTCTAAATAGAATCGTTTGTTAGAGGTTCATTGTTTTCATATATATGTTTATTTCAACCTTTATATTCTACAATAAATAATAAATAATGGAGATCTAGTATCTGCAACCCTCCATTAAGAGACTTACTCTGATAATATAAGGAATTTAATAGAAATGCAGAGAAAATGTCAATGTATAATGCTGTTGGACTAGTCAAAGTCTACCTTCTGAAAGAGAGAAAAAAATTACAATGAGGAATGACAATGACAAAATAGCCAATCATAATTAAGGCAACTCATGTATTTATTAATAGTTGAGCATAAGCTTTAAAAGGAATGAAGTGCAAACTCCATGAATATGTTATTTTGCTGTTTGGTTTTTTGGAACTTTTTTTCCTTTTCAATATACCAAATTTTGCTCGAAAAATTCTGAAATGACTTTAAGTTGTTACGTGCAGGAAAGTGTAATATTTAGTGGTATATTTTCTTAGGCAAATGACTGTGGCATCTGGTAATCAATTAGTCGAATGTCAGGAATGCCATAATCTCTACCACCAAGATTGCCATAAACCCCAGGTGACAGACAAGGAAGTGAATGACCCTCGTCTGGTGTGGTATTGTGCCCGATGTACCAGACAAATGAAAAGAATGGTAAGAATTCATACTTTTTTTTATCTTAATAGTCTCTCTCACTTTTTTTGTTAGTATGTGCTTTCAAAACAAGTGAACATTTAAGGTATTGAAGAAATAAATAATATAAGCTGGTTATGTAAATGTTTGTATACGTAGTAATGCATATGTGGTTTGTATGTCTATGCCTAAAGACCGACCCTACCATGTTATATGCATTTTCTCTGTTTAGCTATAGATAAACAAACAGAATTGGTCACCTACACATTATGACTATTCCTTACATCAGTGTATTTCTAAAAGCAGTGAAAATACTGTGAAGTACTGTGGAAGGTAGTTCATACAAGTTTGACAAACCCAGTTCGTTAAGTCTGGTAGGAAAATATAGAAAGTTTTTGAGTGAGCTTGTGTGTGCAGAGGCAGTACTGTGGGTGTCTCTTGTCTTTCCATCTGCACTTCTCAGTTTGTCTTCTCATTGTCTTCAACTGACCATTTTCTCACCCTAATGTACTTACCTCTTTTTACTCCTCACTTATATTACTTATAATATTTACTCCTCACTTATATTACTGCCCGTAACATCATTCTGCATCATGTTTTCATTTGTTATTGGATAGCTTTTTCTAACTTTTATTCATTTATAAAGGCAATAAATGATAAGTGAATTCTACAATTTTCCTTTTAAAGAAAGCAGGGAGTTGCCATCTACTTCAGTGACTTGTTCAGTCCTCCCCTTTCCATCCCTCTTCTCTTTTTTAGACTTTAAGAACTCTTAGTAGAAAAGGTCTCATGTTGTAAATGAATTTCTACATAAAATAAATTTGTCTGATGAAATATATCTTTTTAAGGTCAGAATTACTTAGTTAAAAGTAAAACTACAAGATATACATTTTACTTTTTAATCAGTTAAAGTAAAAATAGGAAATGAAAAGTACTCAAATTTCAATTTTATTTGTAACAAAAAAATTTTGTGATAAGTTTTAGTTTTCTCTGCTCAATTTGATTTTTATTTACATTACTATTTAAACAAACTCTTTAGGATTTTGACCAAAATTATTACAGATGAGCAATATAGTACATTCCAGAGCATTGATAAGAAGGCTCGGTACCACAGGCTCGGTACCTGTGGCTCAGGTGTCTAAGGAGCCAGCCACATACACCTAAGGTGATGGGTTCGAATCCAGCCCAGCCAGCCAAACAACAATGACGGTTGCAACCAAAAAACTGCCAGGTGTTGTGGCAAGTGCCTGTGGTCCCAGCTACTTGGGAGGCTGAGGCAGGAGACTCACTTGAGCCAGGAATTGGAGGTTGCTGTGAGCTGTGATGCCACAGCACTCTACCCAGGGGACAGCTTGAGGCTCTGTCTCAAAAAAATAATAATAAAATAAATAAAAATAAAGATAAGAAGCCAGTAAGAATTGATAATTGTCAAAAGAAACAAGTTATAACAGTAATCTGTCTTTCTTTAGTATATCTTCAACATTTTTTGAATTGTTATTTCACTCTGTCTTAATAGCTAAAGCAAGCACTGTTCTCCCTGTGTTTTTTCTCCCCCATTTTTTTTTGTGACTCAGTTTACACCAAATCTGTGTTGATAGCTCTAACCCTCTTTCTGGGTCAGCTTCTGCAACTCGCTAGTCAACTAGATATCCTACGGGTACCCAAGTGGGGCATGTTCTGCATACATGTTATTGTAAGAAGACCTGTTGAAAGTGTGATAGTATATTGCAGGGTCCAAGGTCAGTCAGTTCTATACTTTTCTTTCAACCCCATAATGGGTTTTACCCCAGCTCAAGGTAAGAGACTCACATCACTTACTGCACTGGTTCTCCATAGGTAGCAGTACATTCATAGTTGGTAGCATTTAGAAATATGTGGGTTTTTTAATTACTGCCACACTGGCTCTTAGTGCTTAAGTAGAGTATTTTATACTCTCTGCAATGTGTGAAATAATTACACAATGAAAAACTGTAGTGCCTGTGTTGAACAACAGTGAGTCAATGATTGTATTCTACGTCCCTAAACTAGTATTACCAGCAGAGGACAAATGGCTCTGGGTATTACTCAGTTTCTAAGATAGCTGGCTAAAATAGGGAGACAGAAGATCCAAAGATGATCTCCTAGGCAGAGGTCCTGTCTTGGCTTCATGTGCTGAAGCAGACAGGTTAGGCTGGTCTTCAGAGTCTGGCTTCTGGAATGGAAGCTGTGGGAAAAGGGTGCTGTTTAAGACTGGAAGCCATGGCTATGGAGCCACGTGTTTCTGATTTACATTGAGGGCAGCAGTGTCATAACAGTTTTGCAATAGAGGATAAAATGCCCTCCTTTCCTGCTTGTGAGATTTTTACCACAGATAGTCTTCCAACATCCTTTATATTTTTAATCTGAATGTTGCTAATCTAAGTGGTGCTAGAATTCTGTAGGTGATCTTTGATGTGGAATATATACAATGTAAAAAGCAATGTTAATTGAGATTTAAGGACCAAAATTATATAGTACAGCAAACAATAGCACACAAAGATTACATAAGCAGTTCCTTCAGAGAGAAAAGAATTTTTTTTAAAAGTTACACTAAAAGGCCCCCAAAAGGGTAAAATAGGCCAAATTCAGGCTTCTGGAAATGGGAGGACAAATTATTAATAAATTCCCTGGTATAGTTTTGTGTGGACTTAGGAGGATTATCAAAGATTATGGAATGGTTGTCTGGGAGCATCTTTTCCCGTCCAGTATGGATGGGTTCTTCCACACTCAGTTTGTTTATCCTTCGTAAATAATAATGTATAAATGGTCACTATTATTTTTAGCACTTAACATGTGCCAGGCATTATGTTAAACTCTTACATAATTCATCCTCATAACCCACCTTTGAAATAGATGGTATTATTACCATTTTACAGATGAAGAGAACAAGGCTTTTAGAGATTCATATGTTTTCCCTGAAGTAACATGACTAGGAAAGTAGTTCAGCTGGGTTTGATCCTAGTTCTGTTTGACTCCAAAAGCTGTGCTCTTAAACATTGAACTGTACTATCTGTATAGTTGTGAGTATCTACCTGGAAAACACTTAAGAACTAAAACTTTAGTAAAGTTCTTAGTTATAAGAGAAAAATATCAATTATTGGTCGAAATAAAACTGAAGAGGAATATTAGATACAAATTCTTTTTGTATAGTATAGGAATTTGCTTTTATGGCTCTAAGGATTTAGTATGCCCAGTTCTGCAGTGTGAAAAAAAAAGTTCATAATTTATCAATAGTTTTTTCCTCCCCATTCTGAATTTAAAACCATATAAATGATTTGAGCTATATTTTAACTCACCCTCAGTCACTAGGGACTCATATTGTAAGCAGAAAACTACTAAGTCTTTGAACAACCATAATGAGAAATAAATGGGTTTCATGAGGAGTAAAATGACCTACTTACATATTGTTTGTGATTTTTCTTTTTCTAAAAGAATGATTTGGTTTGTTTTGTTAAAATAGTATTTAACCAACCCTATTTGGCATAATTGCTAAAGCTTAATATTATCTTTACTGTTCAGAAATTAATGAAATTTGTCCAAACTATTCATGCGATGTTGATGATAAAAATAGTTTGTCTAAGAGTCTACATGTTTACTGTCATAATATTTGTTAATATGTTGAGGCCCATTTCATTTCAATGATGAGACTGCTGATAGATTATTCAGTTAAGATTTTGTATCTAATTTAATCCACTGATTTTTGCAGGCTCAAAAAACTCAGAAACCACCACAGAAACCAGCCCCTACAGTTGTTTCTGTAGCTCCAGCTGTCAAAGATCCATTAGTTAAGAAACCAGAAACTAAACTCAAACAAGAGACAACTTTTCTAGCATTTAAAAGAACAGAAGTCAAGGTACAGTACATTTCATTTTTATCTAAGATTATATCTTAATTTAGTCAACTAAACAATAGTTTCTTGATAAAAAAATTAAATGAGAAACTTTATGTACTAACTTTAGAAATTAAGATTGCATTACTATTAGGTAGAAAAGGAACATTTATATCATTATTTAGTCTTTATCTCTGCTGTTTTTCTTTTTATCGCAAATAGGCACAGTCTGTAATCACTCTGAAATGACATGCTCTACCATTCTTGTGTGGTTAGATACTTATCTCCAATTAGGAATTTGGTTTAAATTCTAAGCACTTCTGCCCTCAGTATTAACAAATTTGCTTCCCATACTGTATAAGCTGATTGGCCACGTTGGGTTTTTTAATCCCTACTTACGGGCTATTGAAATAGTGTTCTTGCTTTGGTGTATTTTTTCTATTTCTATATCATGAACTTTTATGGTCCTACCTTTTATATTAAGAGGCCATATTATCTAATAAGAATATTACCTTTGTCAGTTCTAGATTTGCATCCTTGAAATCACATGGCTTATTATTAATATCCTGGATTTTGATATCATGGAATTAAATAATTTTTAAATTTAATTTTATAGCAAAAATTATATGTATGTATATATTATATATGTAAATTATATGTAATAAATATGTATAAATTTACTGGGCTATACATTGTAATTATAAACATAGTACTGAAAATGGGCCAAAAAAATACTAGCCTCAAATTCTGAAATACTGAAAACTCAGAAAATTCTAAAGATAGGACCTTGTTTAAGTGACTAAAAACAGCAAATTGAAGAACCTTAGTGTGGTGAAAAAAAAATGAATATAAAGCACTTTGAGAAAGGTATTAAAATTACATTTGTAGATCATTTTTTAATTTATCAAGGCAGAAATGATACCCAAGGGATATCTATTATTGACTTGTCATATAGGAACTTGGTGAATTGGAATAGGAGTAACTATAACTAATTTGTTGAAAGTAATTAGAGTTGCTGTATTCTATGCTTAATCACTTTTTGGTAGTCTTTTTTTTGTTAATCTGTTACTACTAAAGTTTATTTTTAGGAATCTAACACAAAATCATTTCATGGCAAATAAATTAAGGCTTTGGCCATCATGTTTGTTTTGGTTAAGAGATTTTGCCATCTTTTGATAAAAGTGAATAAATTTGTGTTATGAAAAAAATTGTTTCCATTCACATATAAAAAGTAAATGGCTTTTCCAGTAGGATAATGGGCAAGAAAATATTTATAATTGAAAGTACTTAGAAAATTATTTTCTACACTGAAATATTAAGAAATTACTATGGCCATTGTTTTTGTTTTTACTTCTATGTGTCCTAAAAATATCATAAACCATCTGTCGTTCTGTTGAAAATCAATACCAGCAAGGCATTAAAATAAAATGCCAAACATATCAAACTTGCTTTCTTGTTTATACTTCCTAAGTTTTGGCCTTTTTAATTATTCCAGGTGGGTTTTCATTCATGAATTTTGTTAAAGGGATCATTTAGACAGGTAGCACACAGTTTAATGTTTAATAGAAAGAGAAAGGGAAAAAATTAGGTGTTTATAGCTGAAAATTTAAAAATTTACTACATCTCTTTTTCCTTTCTTGACTTTTTCTCCCATGACTGTTGTGTATTTCTTTGTGAATTTATGATTTATGTGAAGTTTTCTCTTCCTGGTGACCTCAGGAGATAGTTTTTATATGATGTTAAAAAAAGAATCCTTTTAATTTTCAGAGTGTGAACAAAAATCTGAATTACTCCTCTCATAAAATAAAGATCTGCGAGGTCTCTATTTTGATTACTTTTCAACTCATTAACATGCAGACAATATTGAAGGCTACCTTATAAGAACTAAAAATGTTTTATCAACTGTTTCAGAGTCCAGTTCTAAAATATAATTTGACTAGGAGCAGGGGCATGTGCCTGTGATCCTAGCACTTTGGGAGATGGAGTAAGAAGGATTGCTTGTGGTCAGGAGTTAAAGACCAGCCTGAGCAACATAGTGAGACCCTTTTCTACAAAAAAATAGAAAAATTAGCTGGATGTGGTGGTACATGCCTTTAGTCTCACCTACTTGGGAGGATAAGGCAGGAGGATCGCTTGAGCCCAGAAGTTTGAGGTTGCTATGACCATGTCACTGCCTTTCATGCCCCAGCAACAAAGTGACCTCTGTCTCACAAAATTAAAAACAAAAATACCACCACAACAAAAAAATATATAACTAGGTATATTTTAGATGTAACAACTACCATTTTTTGAAAGTAGGGTGTTATTTTGTGAAATTTTACCTTTTACCTATGTGTGAACGTAATACTTCTGTGAATCTTTTTAAGGGCATGAAGGTAGGCAAAGTATTAATAAGAAGTTCAGGCTGGGCACCGTGGCTCATGCCTGTAATCCTGGTACTCTGGGAGGCTGAGGCGGGTGGATTGCTTGAGCTCATGAGTTCAAGACCAGCCTGAGCAAGAATGAGACCCCATCTCTACTAAAAATGAAAAACTGAGGCAAGAGGATCCCTTGAGCCCAAGAGTTTGAGGTTGCTGTGAGCGACTATCACACTCTACCAAGAGTGACAAAGTGAGACTCTGTCTCAAAAAAAAAAAAAAAAGCTTAATTCAAAATTAATTTGAACAAAGTACATTTGTGCTTAATGTTAAAATGAAGAAAGGTGTTATGTGCATAAGAGTAATATATTTTTATATGATGGCATTGGTATCACTGTGAGCATGTAATTAGCCAAGTAAGTTAATGAGAGAAGTTGAAGTATTATACATTTAAATAATACTTTAGGGAGTGAGTCACTGTGCAGTCAATGAGGCAATTGATAACATTCTTTTTTATAGAAGCAAGAATCTCCTGTGTGATAGTTCCACTGAAAGCATAGACAAATCATGAGACCTTTTTAATATATCATAAAAGTTGTATATTTCCAAGTAGTTAACTTTATACATTTACATATATTTTACAGTGCTTGTTGCTGTTATTCAAATTTGGGGGAAGTTTTTTAAAAAAATGGGTTTTGATTTTATTTATATACAACTGTTTTCTTTCTCTCACACATTGACTCAGTAAATAATTATTGAGCGAATCTCTCTATATCAGATATCTTCTCCTAAATTTCCAGGGTGTAAGCATTTTTATGCTTTAAGAATGGATTTTATTTTATTTTATTTTATGAAGAGTGGATTTTATTTTTTAAATGATCCACTGGCCATTTGGAGTGAACTCTAAAGAATTAGATATTTTACTGAGCTAGATAGTACCTTTGTGAGTAAAAATAAGAAAGTCAATGCACTAAATCTGATTTTCTGATATGGCTTATTGCTGAATCTAAAAACAATTCCCAAAAAGAAATTCCATATATTTCTTGAAAAGAATATGACATCCAAATTGTCTTCTTTGGAAATAGTAAAATACCTACAAGCTGTGGATAAGTATTATTCTGTGTGGTTTTTGAGATCATCTTCATAAGAACCTAATTTGGTGGTATGATTTAAATTTCTCAACTCATTACTTTGGTATAGAAAGTCTAACAATTAAACTTGTTATATATACAAGGAAATTATATAGATGTTGATTACACTTGGCTCTAATGTAATATTTAATTTTTTTTTTTAGACTTCCACAGTTATTTCAGGAAATTCTTCTAGTACCGGTGTTTCCTCTTCAGTAACCAGTGGCCTAACTGGATGGGCAGCTTTTGCAGCCAAAACTTCCTCTGCTGGTCCCTCAACAGCAAAATTGAATTCAACAACACAAAACAGTACTGGGAAACCTGCTACCTCATCAGCTAGCCAGAAGCCTGTGGGTTTAACTGGTCTAGCAACATCATCCAAAGGAGGAATAGGTTCCAAAATAGGGTCCAATAACAGCTCTGCACCCACTGTGCCATTGAAACCACCTCCACCTCTAACCTTGGGCAAAACTGGTCTTAGTCGCTCAGTTAGTTGCGACAATGTCAGCAAAGTAGGTCTTCCGAGTCCAAGTAGTTTGGTTCCAGGTAGCAGCAGCCAACTAAGTGGGAATGGAAATAGCGGGACATCTGGACCTAGTGGAAGTACTCCTAGCAAAACCACTTCAGAATCAAGCAGCTCTCCCTCAGCATCCCTTAAAGGTCCAACTTCACAAGAGTCACAGCTCAATGCTATGAAGCGATTACAGATGGTCAAGAAGAAAGCTGCACAAAAGAAACTGAAGAAGTAATGTGGCCAAGTAGTTTTTATATCATATTAACATAAAGCTTATTATTAGGGCATAAATTGTAATATACTATAATTTAATAAAAATCTTCATAATCAAATTTCTAATGTTTCTTACCTTAAAATGTTAAATATTATATAGCAATTTGGAAAGTTTTATTTTAAATGTCTTTAACATTTTTATTTTAATAATTTCCATAGTGTGTCAAAACAATGATTAGAATGACTGGTTCTTGATGAGAATTTCAGAAGATTGATAGCATGTGAGAATATAACGAAAAAGAAATAATTCATCTTCTAACAAAGCCCCAAGAATTGATCCTGCTGAACGAGGTAACTTACAAGGTACCCAATATATAGTTTTCTACTTTCCTATTAGTATTTTGGGTATTAGGTGTTAGTCCCAGCCTCATTTCAAGTGATTCTCTTACTCTGTCCAATTATTTCATCTTTTTCAAAATTAATTTTTAATTGATTTCTCATATCTCATTTGTATTTACCATTTTTATCACTCATATCAGTGATTCATGGATTTATTTCTTCCAATAGATAGTGAACTTTCACTCCCTTTAATATTTAATCTCACGTTGCCCACTTTTCCCTATGTTACCAATGTAATATATGCACATAATATGTACTCAATAAATACTGACTCATCCTGGTTATGCACATTCCTGAGAATTCTTGAGAAAAATACCCATTCCAAGAGTCTTTGTGGATAGAAATTTATGACTTATTCACACCTTATGACACCTTCTATACTGTGAAAGAAAAGACAGTTTTGTTTTTACTGTCCCATAATTTTATAGCATTTTACCTAATTTTAATTAATTTTGTATAAAAGAGCTCCTACATGATTAATTCTTGAGATTGTATATTAAGTCAGGTACCATGAAGAATCTGAGTTGTTGCATTATTTGCTACCTAACGAGTAGCCAACCATCATTTTACGTATATATTCTGACAGAAGATAGGAAACTTTTTAGCAGAGGAATAGTTTATTATTCACAGAAAAACACAGCAACCATTTTTAAATTCATAATTACTTAATTACTTCATTGTACCCAAACTGGAAATCCATTAAATTCCCATATTTATAATCCTGAACAGCCTGTTCCATTAACCTTGATGTGTGCTGCTAAATCTTCACTCTATAAACTAATTTCAACCCCCCTTTTTTAATCCCTAGGTTTTTCTAACATCATTATTCCATTAATAAAATATATTGATAAATGATTTCTGTGAAGATAAAGCTTTTTAAATTAAGCTTGTTCTGGCTCTGCGCCCATAGCACAGTGGTTATGGCGCCGGCCACATACACCAAGGCTGGTGGGTTCGAATCTGACCCAGGCCATCTAAACACGACAACTGCAACAAAAAAATAGCTGGGCATTATGGCAGGCGCCTGTAGTCCCGGCTACTTGGGAGGCTGAGGCGAGAGAATTACTTAAGCTCAAGAGTTTGAGGTTGCTCTGAGCCATAAACACCAGGGCACTCTACTGAGGGTGACATAGTGAGAATCTGTCTCAAAAAATAAATACATAAATAAATAAATCTTGTTCTAAGGAAAGATGATTATTTTAAATTGCTCTGTTAAATAACAGTACCAAATTATTCCTGGTTAATTAGAATCCAAGTTTTAGATAATCACATTACTTACTTGTGGAGTAGGTATCTGTTTACATGTTAAAATCTTCCTACAGATGTTTTTGTTTTAAGAAACAAGATTTCTGTTGATAAACCATCAATTTGGCATGAACCCCAAGTCCTCTTTAGGGTCAAAAGACCAAATAACAATTCATAATTGTTGATAGTTCAGAGCCAATTTGGACAAAACTGAACAAAATGATCCATCATAAGCTCAACTCAGCAACTTTAACAGTTAATGTAACCTCATTACCTACAAGAAATTAAAACAGTAGTACTTACTGCAGTTTGCACATTGGTACTTAAAATGAAAAAAAATTTATCCTACGATGAAAGATATATACTAGACACAGTTGAGAGGTAATTAATTTCTATTGTACCTTAGTGATGATTTTAACAGTTTATCTTTCATTGAGTATGACTCTTTGTATAGGTAATATGTGCATTATATATTTAGATATGTAAATATGTATACATTTAATAAGGTACAAGGTCAGTCAATTTAAGCTTGCAAACTAATCCTAGAAAAAGTGCCACATACCTCATTGCTGAGTATCATTATGGTCACCTTCAAGTACTCCCCTTGGGAATATGTGTACCAATGCCAGCACGTAGTCCACCCTTCAAAGCGATTTTGGAATTCTCTGGAATGACCATCAGAGCTGTTGGCATTTGAGGTCTGACGATTAGGTTTGCAAACTTTTCCTAGAAAAAGTGCTTATGCCAGCACCAGTGCCTAACTTTCTAAGAGGAGTACTTTGAAAGTGACCATAGTAATATTCCACATAGAATTTCCTATGATGAATTCACAAACTTAATTGTCAGACCTTGTGCATAACTCAGTTTGTTCTTTTAAAGAGGTATATTTGGTATTAAGAGTTTGTTTCAAGTAGTTCTTATACCTTGATTTTGCCATATCATAAAGTGAACTACAAGAATTTTAACTGAGCAGTGATGAAAGTTTCATATCACTAGTTTGAATGATTTTATTTAATTTATTATATATAGTTTATTTTCCTCATTAGAATTTAAGTGGTATGAGGGAATGAGGGTATGAATGTGACCTTATTTGTCTTGTACAACATTGCATTCCCACTAGAGCTCTCAAGCACTTACTGGCTCGGTGAATAAGTACACAGATAAGCAGGTATGCCACTAAGTAAACTTTTAAGATTGTACATTTGAATCCTGTGTTAGTTAGTGTTGAGAAATTTGTTCAGTATGAGTTTTCTGTTTTGAATATTATACTTTTTAATATTTTAGTGACTTAAAAAAAAATGGAAAGAGACGTGGTGCCTGTAGCTTAGTGGTGAGGGCACCAGCCACATGCACCGGGGCTGATGGGATCAAACCCAGCCCAGGCCTGCTAA